GCGGGCTCGCGTGCAATCATTGTAGGTGCAAAAAACGCTCAATTTAAAGGGTAAACGCTACAGATACTTATATACATTCGGAGGGCTGTGGCAGAGCTGTGGATGGAGGGTATGTTTCGAGGGGTGACGTGACTCTGTATTTTGAGGAATGGCCTTTGAAGTCGAAGCATAATGCTCGGGTTCATGATGTGGATTCGTTTTGATGGCAATGGTATGGGTTGTTTTCGAAGTAGAGACGATTAGATAATAGGTGATGTTCAGTGTGTAAAGAGGTGATTGACAAGTGTTGTAGGTAAAATACGGTCGTTTTAATTAGTCGAATTTTTTGTGTTTGCCACACGTTTTTCATTCCAAAATTTGTCAAATTTTTCCACCATTTTAGTTTCTAAAAATCTCGATATTTTTTTGCAAATTGCGAGTGAGGGAGGAGTCTCGGTTCGCAAAGTCGCTGAAGTAATTTCGGCGTGCAATAGGCTTTCTGTGGGTGTTGATCTCACCTGTTTTTGCACTATACACGTTGCCAATATCACTCCAGCGGCTTTGCGAAGGGAGTATCAATATGTCGGGAAAATAGGGTCCCCTCATCGCAGTCGCCCGGCCGCGGCTAGCCGTCGCAAAGGCGATTCCATGGCGCGCGACGAAAACTCGCGACATTGCGAACGGACTAGTATGATTCCAGCATCATATCAGTCTGTAACCTGGAGTTAAACCTTGCGGTTTTCGAGTTTTGGGGGATGAATTATCAGAACGTTTAGCCGCGAATATTATAACAGAGTTTTTGAACCCCTTACTATCAGTCTGTCGGGGAAGTAATGAGCAATATGTTGCTGCGCCACAGTTCATTTTCTCACAATCAGCGGCGATGCGATCTTCATTGCGACAGAGTGCTCATTATTTCCCCGACAGACTGATGATATACCATAGTTTTTATCCATAACTCTCTTGGCTGTTTTTATGACCAATTAAAACTAGATTAATTTTGATCAAAAATGCGCAAAAAATCTCATTTCCTTTTTCCAAAAACCATCATAATTTTTTCAAATTTTTACAATTTCTTTTTCAAATTTCCTTTGCATGCTCCACCGTCCAGTCCAATCTCTACAAAAAAAGTCCTAAAAAAAGCCGTAGGTTGCATGTCCACGAGCATTTTGGAGGATTTCCGATGTCGTGCCGGTGGGCAGTAAAGCGGGTGTAACAAAAATGGCCTCAAACATTCATATTATAGATTACATCCGCTTAGGCGTTGGTATGATTACTAAGGCTTTTTGTGGGTTCGTATCTTGATATTATTACATGTATAACTACTGTAGATGTAGCTAATTGTGTATTATAAAAAAAGGAATCGTTGATTTTTGAGATTTTTTTCTATTCATTGCCTAAGGGGATGTAAGAAAATGAGAGAATTTCGTGTCAAAGTCAAATTTGTAGGCCTTTAGGATGTTGCGAAAATTGAAATTTCGCAACAAAAATCCAGAAAAATTGGCCTAGCGTGAAAAAACTAATGGTTCTCCGGTCGATTTTTACTTACATTCCCAAATAAATTTTTACCGTAAAAATGTTTTTTGAACTTTTCGAAACTTATGACTTCCATTCGTTCTAAGAACAAGTGTCATCTTGTGTCAGCGCAGAGCTCAAGGAAATTGAATCAAAACAAATTCGTCAAATCCAATTTTCGAGTTGCCTTGTTGGGAATGATCCGGTTACCGAGGCTATAAAAAGCGTTTTTTACAGTGTTCAAATCTCAATTTAAATTAAAGTATTTTTGAGGGTTGCTGAAATTTTAAAATGCTTTATTAAAACTACGTATAATATCAGTATGTCGGGAAAATAATGAGCGCTCTGTCGCGTCGAAAATCGCACCGCCGAGAAAATGAATTGTGTCGCGGCAAAAGCAAAATTTCTTTTTTCTTCAGCGATCGGCGAAGCGACACTGCTCTCATTAATTTCCCGACAGACTGATATTTTTCGCTATGCGTCAAAAGCTGCGCTGACGTTTTTAATTTTAAAATGCAATGTACAGTGACGGACCTGATCCAGTAGCAAAAAAATGTACCATTTTGGATCCGGAAAGTATCAAAAAATGTAGCAAAATGCCTCCCTCTCCAAGTGAAAAAACTCCGTTTTGAAGAGCGCGCCCTTTCCCTCACAATCACAAAAAAAGCGGGCGCGGTTTTGAAATCGGTGTCTTTTCGTTTGGAAGGGAGGTACTTCGCTACATTTTTGATACGTCCTGGACGCAAAATGGCATGTTTTTTGTCACTGGATCAGCACTGTACAGGGACTTACAAAAAACGTGAACGAAATTCGAAGGCTATAACTTCTAGAGGCGGCGCAGAGACTTCGTATTTGAAATATGTATCTTTAAACGACACTAGGTTTTGTCTACGAAATAACAAGCTTTTAAAGTGCAAACTCAGGTCGCTACGACCTTCTGAAGTAGGGGCATTTCTACCCCGAAAACCATTGTTTTTCGGTTGAAAATGATCGAGAAATTTTGGACTTTTAACCTGTCTACAAAGAAAAATTTCAAAGATCCGCAGAGCCAATTTTAAGTCAAAATACCCCTCCGAGGACGGGGTTCCGTACAACGACACCCTTATTGTAAGAAATCAAATACTTTTTTGTCCTCTTGAACTTGTTCGTGCATCTCCCATTGGGCCTTAGTTTGCATGTCATCTCAAAATCAAAAAAAAAAGTCCTAGAAATCATTAGATTTTTGCCAGAGCAACTTTTTATGGCTCCCTATCGTGTTTTTTGGTAGCTAATTTCAACCAATTAGATGAAAGGAATACTCTTCTTTCTTCAAAAAAACTAATAAAAGCAAAGTTTTTATGTTTCTGCAACCTAGGTTCTTCAAAATCTCTGTTGTTTCTATACAATTTACAGTGAATTGGCCTGAAAATTCTTCTCCAAAAGTTCAAAAATCGCCCAAATTCTTCAATTTTCCTATAATTTATTATTCCCCGAGTTCTTGTAACAACTTTTTTTATTGGGTTACTGTGAGTAACCTGTTTACGCTTCATTTTCCCCATACAATGTGACAATCCAATTTTTTACGTACAGAGGTTTGGGTGGGCTTGTTAATCTCGCTTTTTCACAGGTGTAGAAGGTAAGACTAATTGTTTTCTCCATGTAAAATTCATCGGGATTTACGTGAAATTTGTGTTATTACTCACAAAGGTTAGTCCTCACAGTTTTTAAATTTGAAAGTACTTTATCAGTCTGTCGGGAAAATAATGAGCTCTCTGTCGAAAATCGCAATGCCGTCGAGAAAATGAACTGTTTCGCGGCAAAATCAAATTGCTTTCACTTTCAGCGACGGGGATTGGCGCAGCGACATTGTGTTCATTATTTTCCCGACAGACTGAGATTCCATAAACCTCTAGGCTAGCCGTCTCGAAGCGATGATGGGCGATTCCAAAGTGCGAAGGGCCCACGTTATTTTCCCGACAGACTAATCACAAGTCCGCTTAATCCAGAAATGACAAGTATTGTCTTTATTACCCATCTGATTACATCTTTATAACTTTTGCTTTTTTGCTTTTCAATTTTGTTCTTATTATTTCACCGACAAACTGATACTGTCGGGAAAATAATCAGCACAAAATAACTTTTCTTGTTTTGCGACAAAAAATCTACGGACTTTTGAAAAAGCGTGGTAGAAGTAAAAAATACCAAAAGAATTGCCCCAAGTGCGACGCTGTGATTCTTTTTAAACTTACAGGGGAAGTACTCCAAGTGCGACGCTCAGATTTTCTTTAAATTTTGCACACGGGTCGGGAATAGACTAGATATCAATTCCTGAAAGTTTTAGCTCGCGCTTTGCGGGCGACGCCGAGATATCGAACGATTTTTGCCGCCGAGAGAGCACGCTAAACGCGGAGAGCGGTCAGAGTGAAAACGACTTTTTGGCTATAACTTTGGCAGTTTCGTGCGGAAAAATTTGATTTTTTGTAGAAACATTGTTTTACGGTAGAAATAAGCATGAAACTTTTCGTGCTGAAATTCGGCAAAAAGTCCTAAATTTTCGCCGACTTTCGATCTAAAAATCTTGGTTGTTTCTGCGAAGCGCGAGCTAGGATTCTCGTATATACTAGTCGCGGAAAAAAGTCCTGGGATTTTTCTGCGACTCTGCACTGTGCATGAACCCGAAAAGTGCTTTTGCACAGTGCAATTTTGTTGATTTTGCCTTATTGTCGCGCGCGATTCCCGCGACAAATCAACTTTTCGGAGCGCGATGGAGTTTGGGGGGCGCGAGAAAATCCCAGGACTTTTTTCCGCGACTAGTATCTTAGAAAAAATTATTCTAAATTTGTGCCAAGTTTCATCAAAATCTGAGCGTCGCACTTGAAGTACTTCCCCTGTTAGCACACACTTTGGGCGTAGACCACATATTTTAATTTAAAACCCTGAAAATTTTAGCTCTCGCTCTGCAGGGACGGCCGAGATATCGAACGATTTTTGCCGCCGAGAGAGCACGCTAAATGCGGAGAACGGTCAGACAAAAACAATTTTTGGCCATATCTCTGCCAATTTCGCGCGGAAAAAATTGATTTTTTTGTGGAAACAGATCACTCTCTATAGTAGAAATTGGCCTGAAACTTTTCCTGCCTAAATTCGCAACAAAGTGTAATTTTTTTTCCAACTTTTAACCCAAAAATCTCGCTTTTTTCTGTGAATCGCGAACTAGGAGTCTCGCTTTTATGCCTCAGAGAAAATTAATTTAAATTTGGACAAATCTTTGCTTGGTGGAAAATTGAGGGTTTTTGATTTTATTTCGCTTATAAATCGGGATTTTTTGATATTTTTTGTAAAATACGCGAATTCTTCTATTGAATGTGTAAATTCACTACCTTAGGAGTAATCTAACACAATTTTAGGCACCGAAAAAACAGATATCACCAAAAATATTTTTGATTTTTCATTGGCAATGATGTAAGATACGTCCCGACCTTCGCTAAAATATTGTCATAAACTGAAAATACAACTGTTTTACAACTATGGAGACAGCCGACATTTTATCGGAGCAACTCGTCGCTACAATAGAGCCAATGCAATTCGTAACTGACAGTGTTCAGGAGCATGTGACAAAGGAGTGCAATCGGGGAAGGGTAAGATTTGAGATTGAAGTTCTCAATAGAAAAAAATTGTAAAATACGGACAACGGATGTATTTTTCTAAGCTTAGCGTCAACTTTTTGGAAATTACAAAAAAAAAAAAATTTTCTTTTGGAAAAGGCTTTTCGAAAAAAATTCTTTTTTTGATGATCCACCAGTCTTTCCATAAAGTTCGTAGACCTTTTGTCGCAAGCTTTTTGCACTGTGCAATTCAAAAATCACCGCGGCATAAGCTTATTTCAACCGCGAAGGACGGAATGGTCCGCTGCGGAAAGGTCTGCTTAAAAAAAGAAAGAAGAGGGCGGGAGGTTTTCGATGGCGCTGATTTCGAATATCGTATCCATTTTTTCTGAATTTTACAATTTTGCTTAGGCAGTAGTGTTAATTAGCAATTAAAAGAAAATTTTTTTTTGAGTAATGGATTTCGGGGTTTTCGGTGGTGCTGATTTTGAAAATTGTATCCATTTCTTCTGAATTCTTGCCTATCTTCCTCAATTCTTTAAAATAAATGTTTTAATTGGTAAAAACTTGGTCAAACTTGTATGATATTGTAAGAAAACTTATGGCGCTTTTTTTCGTCTTTACAGCGAAAATGACACTACTGTTTAAGCAAAATTGTAAAATTCAGAAAAAATTGATATGATTTTGCGCCATCGAAAACCAAATACTAGCTCTATATCCCCTACTTTTTTACACAAATGTTTTTGCAATTCTTCGATATTGCAAAAAGAAAAAAAACCAGACAATTATTGTGAAATTTTGCTTTGCCTTTTCGTGTAGGCGATGTTTTGTCTAATGCCACAAGCGTGTGTAATTAGATTCCGGTACATCGTGGTGTTCATTTTGAAATTTAATTTTACAATTTTACAATTTGTTTCATTGAATTTTTTAAATTTTCCGCACGATTCGTTTAATTTTTATTTTTTTTTTGCACGGTGCAGGCAAACAACGTTCCCTTGCACCGTGCAAAAACTGCGACAAGTTTGTTTTCTTGCGTTTGCACTGTGCAATTTTTTTGATTTTTTTTGCACAGTGCAATCAATTTTTTACCTTTTTTTCGCACAGTGCAATCTGTTCGCAACTCCCGTTTCCTCTCGCACAATGAAAAAAGTTGCGACAAGACTTCCCTTTCCGTTTCCGCACGGTGCAATTTCCTGTCTTCATTAAATTTCGCACGGTGCGTTCAACTTTATTTTTTTTGCACTGTGCAGACAAAAAAAGTTTTCTTGCACTGTGCTAAAACTGCGACAAGTTTGTTTTCTTGAGTTTTCACTGTGCAAACTATTTTTTATTTTTTTTGCACAGTGCAATGTGTCGCAACTCTGTTTTCTTCGCACAGTGACAAAATTTCAAGTTTTTTTCGCTTTCCGTTTTCGCACGGTGCAATTTCCTGTCTTCATTAAATTTCGCACGGTGCGTTCAACTTTTTTATTTTTTTTTGCACTGTGCAGACAAAAAAGTTTTCTTGCACTGTGCTAAAACTGCGACAAATTTATTTTCTTGCGTTTGCACTGTGCAAACTATTTTTTATTTTTTTGCACTGTGCAATGTGTCGCAACTCTGTTTTCTTCGCACAGTGACAAAATTTCAAGTTTTTTTCGCTTTCCGTTTCCGCACGGTGCAATTTCCTCTCTTCATTAAATTTCGCACGGTGCGTTCAACTTTTTTATTTTTTTTTGCACTGTGCAGACAAAAAAAGTTTTCTTGCACTGTGCTAAAACTGCGACAAATTTATTTTCTTGCGTTTGCACTGTGCGGATGGCTCTTTTATTTTTTTGCACTGTGCAATGTGTCGCAACTCTGTTTTCTTCGCACAGTGACAAAATTTCAAGTTTTTTCACTTTCCGTTTCCGCACGGTGCAATTTCCTCTCTTCATTAAATTTTGCACGGTGCGTTCAACTTTTTTATTTTTTTTTGCACTGTGCAGAGAAAAAAAAGCTTCCTTGCACTGTGCAATACCTGCGACAAATTTTTTCTTGTGTTTGCACTGTGAAAATTTTTTCTTATTTTTTTTGCACAGTTCAATCTGTTCGCAACTCCCGTTTCCTCTCGCACAATGAAAAAAGTTGCGACAAGACTTCCCTTTCCGTTTCCGCACGGTGCAATTTCCTGTCTTCATTAAATTTCGCACGGTGCGTTCAACTTTATTTTTTTTGCACTGTGCAGACAAAAAAAGTTTTCTTGCACTGTGCAAAAACTGCGACAAATTTGTTCTTGTGTTTGCACTGTGCGGATGGCTCTTTTATTTTTTTGCACTGTGCAATGTGTCTGTCGCAATTCTTTTTTTTTGCAGACAGAGGAAAAATTGCGGCAAAATTTCAAGTTTTTTTCACTTTCCGTTTCCGCACGGTGCAATTTCCTCTCTTCATTAAATTTTGCACGGTGCGTAAAATTTTTATTTTTTTTTTGGAAAATTTCGAAAAAAGTTGGACCTAGAGCTCAATAAAAAATGTGTAACGGAAAACGAATTTTTTGGCCAATGATCTTTCGGCCTAAAATTTTTTTTAAACCCCAAATTTTTGCGGAAAAAATTACAAAAAAAAATTTTTCATAAAATCTCAAAATTCCTTGTTAAAAAAAGTTAAAAAATAGAAAGGAAGTGCGATGGGATGATTCGATAACACTACTTTCTCTGGTCTTTAATTGGGAGGGGCCTGCAAATTATGTTAATTTACACTTGAGTGCGCGCGGCCAAAGGTTCATTTGGTCGAATGGGAGAGTGTAATACAAACACTCACCATCTATTTTTACCATTGATACTACTGCAAGGGAAATATTCGCAAAAAATATTGGAATTTCTTTTTTTGGATTATATTTGAATATTCAAATTAATATTCAAATTTTGTGCTAACCATGAAGGAAGTGATGACAAAATTAATCGTAAAGAAGAAATTGCTGGATTGCGTTACTCCGGTAGGTAAAATACGATACCAGATTCTTTTATGGGATTATTCTTGACCATTTTTGAAAGCAAACAAAATTTTCATGGTTATAATGTTTCACGATTTTTTTTTTCAAATTTATCACGGTAAATATTATATCAATCTGTCGGGAAAATAATGTTGTAGGCTATGCCGCTTTGCCGATGGCGTCGCTGAAGCGAAGAGCAATTTGATTTTCGCCGCGACACAATTCATTCAAACGCTTTTTCGCTTATTATTTTCCCGACAGACTGATAGCATGCAGATATGTGTATCGGATGTCGGGAAAAATAATGAGCACACTTTCGCATCGAAAATCACACCGCCGCCGAGGAAATGAATTGTGTCGCGACGAAATCAAATTTCTTTTCACTTCAGTGATGCGCTCGGCGCATCGACTCATGCTCATTATATTTTCAGTCTGTCGGGAAGATAATGTGGATTTGATGCGCCTTGAACTCTCTTATCATCGATTTGCGACGGTTGGAGATTTGGTGCTTGACTGCCAGAAGCGAGAAATTTTGCTGCAAAAAATCCACATTATTTTCCCGACAGACTGATATGGTATTACAGATAGCATTAATTACCCATTTTTATAATTTTTAGTGTAAAATACGAACAAGTTTCTCTTCTTTCTATCTCGTATGACCTGCCTATTTCTTATAAAGACCTTCCCCAAAACCATGTCTATCTGAGCCCTAGCCAGTTTTCATACCACAAAAAAAATCTGAATAACTGACTCTTATATCCCACTAAAGCCGCCGTTTCAGGAGATGCGCGCCCAACAAATGAACATCTACATTATGGCCGTCTTCTACACCACCGTCTTCCTAATCTCATTCATTGGCAACGCCACCGTTGTCTACGTCATGGTGATCCGCGCCAAGACCACGAACGTCATGAACTTGCTGATAACAAACCTGGCCGTTTCCGACTTCCTCGTCTGCATTACATCCCTCTGGTTAACGCCGTTGTATTGGTATACCGGCCAATGGATGTGGGGGACCACAATGTGCCACTTTTTCCCGCTGTTCCAAGGCCTCAGTATTTGCAACAGCTCCATGACGTTGCTGGTGATCGCCGTGGATCGGTACATTGTGGTGTGCAAGAATCAGGACAGTCGATACAAAGCGTTCAATCTGACAACGAAGGTGAGGAGATTTGAAGAGTTTTAGGAGGAAATTAGACTTTTCATGGTGAAAATAATTGAAGAATGGTGTTTTAAAATATTGCAAAGCTTACTAATCAAATTTCTTTTCCCTTCCTAAAGCCGCTGGAGTGATTTTTGGCGTTTGCACTGTGCAGAAAAAGTCAGGGTGCGAGCGACAGCTTGCACGGTGCAAAGGCCAAAAATTGCACAGTGCAAAATGAACTTTTGTTTTCGCACGGCACGTCAAACTGAGATAAGCTAAAACAGTCCGGTGAATGGATTGGCAATTTGCCAAAAAAAGACGCGAAAAAACGTTTTGTCGGGGGAGAAATGGGGAATTTTTGGGGCGAGAGAGTACGCTTTTGCGTGTCTTTTCTCTCTTTCTCTGCGAAATCAAGACGAAGTGTAAAAAACCGATAGCGAAGAGTCTATTCCGGTCACCGGACTCCTCAGTTTGACGTGCACGGTGCTGTCGCAGAAACCACTTTAGCGACTATGCGAGCGGACTATCAGTCAGTCGGGAAATTAATGCGGGTTTCAATTTATTCGTTATACTAGGATTTCGTTGTACGGAGGCTCACTCGGCCCAAGATTGACATTTTAGCAACAGAGAGGCGGATGACAGAGAGAAAAACAATTTTTGGCCCTATCATTGTCAGTTTCTTGCGGAAAAAAATGATTTTTTGTGAATACCGTACGGTATACGGTAGAAATAGGCACTAAGCTTTTCCATTCCAAAGCTCGCAAAAACCGTTAGATTTTTTATTTAACTTTTAATCGTTTCTGACAAAAAAACACCAGCAAAGTTTACAACAACCTCCGACTTTGATGTCGGGTTTTTTGCGCCAACGGGATTATTCTTTTAAAATACGACCCAGTGAAGAGCTGAAACTTTTGGATACTAAAAAATTAAGCTTCAACCCTACGTATTGCTAGGTATCAGTCTGTCGGAAAAATAATGACCACTCTGTCGCATTCGAAATCACATCGCTGCCGAGAAAATGAACTCGGCAAAACCAAATTTCTTTACACGTCAGCAACGCAATTGACACAGCGACATTATGCACATTATTTTCCCGACAGACTGATATAAAAACGTGAAAAATAACAAATTTTTATTTCGTTTTCTCTCCAGAACTGCAAATTTGTGATCGCGTTCATTTGGTCGATCGCCATAACCCTGGTTATGCCGTATGCTTTGAACATGAAGATCAAGAAGTCATCAAATCTCTGTGGACACTACAAATGCTTGGAGTCTTGGTCTACCGGCTCAACAAGAGCTGTTTATGGGCTGGTTGTGACCATGTTTCAGGTAAATTTTTGACTTGTTACGTACAAAATATTATGCTGTTTTCATCACTTATTTGCATTTAGCTTGTAAAGTACGTCAACCAATTTTCTTTCAGTTTATAATTCCGATGATTTTCATTGGATTCAGTTACATGAAGATCTTCATGTTTCTGCAACGACAATGTCAAGAGAGCAACAACCGACTGAGAGTTGTGAGCAACAAAAAGAACGCGCTGTTCCGCATGTTATTTGTCATGGTTGTGGCGTTCGCGGTGTGTTGGCTGCCTGTGAATATTCTGTAAGTTCTCTCTCTAAATGTATTAGGCCATTAGAATAAAGCAGGGCCCTGCAAGGATAAAAATACAGCAATCTTTTTTGCCAATGTCTTTGGAAAGTGTTTTAACAGAAAGTGTTTAAAAATTAGCTGCCTAATTTTGGTCTAACGACATGTTTTTTGTCCTCAGAAGATTTCTCGTGATACCATGCCAGTGTCTTTTTGACCATTTTTTACCAATTAAAAATTTTTGTTTCGCGCTAAAATATACTCTGTGATCTTAACAAGCCATACAATGTCAAATTGGATTAAGACTTCAGCTTAATAGTAGTTACAAAAAATGAATTATGTCGATGGCAAAATCAAATTGCTTTTTACCCCAGCGACGCGATAGAGACACTGTGCTCATTATTTTCCCGACAGACTGATATTTATGAGACCTACAAAAGCTCTTACAGACTGGTAGTACAATACTTTTTGCAAATCGCTTACTTTTTCTCGTTTTCTAACCAAGTTTATTGTTTCAGCAACGTAATGCGTGACATTGGACTGGATCAGCTAATTCTTGGCCGCCAATTTGGGATCTGGTTCATGCGGGCCCATATGTTGTCCATGACGGGGGTCATGGTCAACCCTCTCATCTACGCCTTCATGAACCACAACTTCCGCGACGAGTTCTGTCGCGTCTTCCCAATCCGCGTCTTCATCGCGTTGCCGAAGCGGATTTGTCGCAAATCGCCGGCCAAAAAAGAGAACGGCCTGCTGAACGTGGAGCAGAATACCACCGGGCTTTTAACCAACAACACTCGCGCTATCACCGATGACGGCTCGCAGAAACGCGGGCTTTTCAGCTACTACGACGACGAGTTTGATGACCTCGGCCGCGATGATGGTTTCTGGACCGATGAGGATGAGAATCAAAATAAATTGAAGGTGAACACGCCGAGAAGAAAGAGGTCAAGATTTAGCGAGAGAACGGAGAATGAAATGGCGGCGGCGACTGGCTGTTGCAGCAGTTTTGGCCCAAAAAACGATGAGCCCTATGCCAAGAGTTTGGAGATGCAGAAACAGGAGGAGAGGGGGAAAATCGCGAGCGCAACGAGAACCACGACCACAGGGACCCCGACTTGGACGGAAGAGAAGAATAGCGCAACGGTGGTTGCGATCAGCACAGGTGAGAAAAGTTGAAGTAAAAAATTCTAAGAAGGGAAGTACTCCGAGTCGGGCATCTAAATATGAATTCCTGAAAGTTTAAGCTCGCTATTTGCAGGCGCCGCCGAGGTATTGCATGATTTTTGTCGCCGAGAGAGTACGCTAAACGCGGAGAGCGGTCACAGAGAAAAATTGGCCACAACTTTGCTAGCTTCGTGCGGAAAAAAATTGATTTTTTGTGGAAACATTACCCTCTATGGTGGAAATAGGCACGAAACTTTTTGTGCCGAAATGCGGCAAAAAGTGTCATATTTTCGCGAACTTTCGATCTAAAAATCTCGGCTGTTTCTGCAAAGCGCGAGCTAGGATACTCGCATATGTTTTAGAAAAAATTTTTCTAAATTTGTGCCAAGTTTTATCAAAATCTGAGCGTCGCATTTGAGGTACTTCTCTTTTAGGAGGAAATGAGCGGAAAAGTTTTTGCGTCTTATAAAAGTACACGCCGTACATTAAAATTAATTTTTTTTTGCGTAAAGAGTTTACGTATCCGTCTGTCGGGAAAATAATGAGTATAATGTCGGTGTGCCAATTGCGCTGATGAAGTGAAACATAAAGTTTTATTTTTCCGCGACACAATTAATTTTCTCATCAGCGATGCAATTTTCGTCGCGACAGAGTGCTCATTATTTTCCCGACAGACTGATAAAAAATTTTAAATAAATAATCGTTTCCAGAGCCCTCCAACCCTTCCACGGAGCCTTTGTCCATCCGACGCACCATCGAGACACATTCCACGGCCAATCAGCATTCCGCCCCAACCGAATTTGACGTCCATTCCGATGTGCAGTTATGACAGTGACATCCCCATTCCAAATGTTTTCACATTCATCACATTACTTTTAAAAATCTCGGGTTCCATCGCTCATCCGTCCATTTCGTTTTATACAAACGTGTTTCGTCTTCCGGTTGTCGCATTTTTTTTGCATTTTTTCACTTGAGTTCTCTGTTATTTCTATTAAAATTATTTCTTCAGACAACGGTCCCAACTGCGTATTTTACATTATTGTTGTTAAATTCTATTTGAATTCAAAATTTTCAATTAAAATTTTTCGCTCAAAATATCTTCGCCCATGTTGTGCAACTTTTTTTGTTTTTTAATACAATTGCTTTTCAATAAAATATGTTCTTGCTCTTTTTGCTGAAAATGAATCACAGATTTTCCAACAATTTTCCCGTTGAATACTAGTCGTTGCAGAAATTGCGTAGACTTTTTTCGGCATTTTTTGGCACTGCAAGCAGCTAGGGTTCGGAAAATTCGGGTATATTCACCACGCGGGTTATCCCCGGGTATATACCCGAAATCTCGGGTATATTCGGGTATTTATAAAATTAGCCTAAATTAGTCCAATATAGTACCAATATGAAGTCGTTAATGAAAAAGTGGCAAGTTATTCCTTAACCTAATCATGTTTGGAGTGATATTCTCTATTTGCCCAACTACTACAAACAAAACTAAGTTTAGCAAGCCAATATTTGGCAGTCAGATTTTCAATTTTCCCCGTTTATTTTCCGACTCCGGCCAAGTAAATTTCAACCTTACAACCAAGATTTGAGAGGCAAAAAACAAATTATGACAAAATGTCAACATTCATTGATTTTTTATGACAAAACTCGACTTTTTTTAAAATTTTTTGAATGCAAAAGTAATTTGAATATACCCATAAATACCCGAAAATTTCCGGCCTCTCGGGTATTTGGGTATATACCCGGGTATATGCACGGGTATATACCCCGTCCGAACCCTACATGCAGCTGCTCCTTTCCGAAACATTTTGCAATTTCCTTTCGCGACCAAAATCCGCGCCAGTTTCGTTGAGAAAAGCTTAAGTCAGCTGCGATGTTGGACTTCGACAAACGTCTACGCACTTTCTGAAACGACTATCAGTCTGTCGGGAAAATAACGGCGGATCGGCGCGTCTCGGAATCGCCCATCATCGCTTTGCAACGGCTGCCGAAGCTGGAGATTTAGTGTGTTTTTTCGACGAGGCGAAACATTTTGCCGCGACGACCCTCCGTTATTTTCCCGACAGATTGAGAGCGACAATTGCGGAGATAACCGACTCAATAAAAATGAATTTGCATCCATAGCAAAGTCGATAACGTGATTCTTTCATTTTATTAAAGCTCTCTGCTCATTTTTCAACATTTATCAGTCTGTCGGGAAAATAATGAGCACTCTGTTGCTGTGCAAATAGCGTCGCTGAAGTGCAAAACAACTTCATTTTGTCGCAACACAATTTACTTTCTCAACGGCAATGCGACTTTCGATGCGACACAGTCCACATTATTTTCCCGACAGACTGAAACAACAAAATATAATCCTATCAACAACTCATAAATTAAATGCGAATACTTTCTACATCCTAACAAGCTCATTATTTGTTCCTTTATCTTCTCCACTGTCCTCCGAATCCTCGCAATCTTCATCCGGAATAAACCGCTTCTGGAAGATGGCAAACGGCACGAACAAAAGCGCCAACACAGCGAAATACCCACTGTAAACATAGAACTGAGTGATGATCGGCAAGTTCATCCCATGCTTGTCCGCGACAGCGAACGTTAGCGCGGTCTGCAGGAAGAGCGCGACAAAAGTGTTGAAGCCGAAAATCAACGAATACTTGGAGGACTGGAGTTGCGCTGCGATTGTGGTGCTGGCCGCGGCGATCAAGACGTGATAGAGAGTTGAATTGAGGATGTAGAAGAAGTAGGAGACGAAAATATTTTGAATAAACGCCATTCCGGCCAACAGAAGGGAGGAGAAGATGGAGGTGGTCAGGAAGACCGTGGAGCTGTGCTTCTTCCAGTTGAAACTAACGTATTGGAGGCCGAAGGTGAGAAGGGTGGCTGAAATAAAAAATAAAAATGTAAAATACGATGCTCGGTATGTTTTGGTGGTAAAAAGGTTCACAATAGAAACAAAAGTGCGACACAGATTTTTTTTGATCAACTAGGGAAGTACCCCAAGTGCGACGCTCAGATTTTCTTTAAATTTTCCACACACTTCGGGCATAGACTAAATATCAATAACTGAAAGTTTTAGCTCGCGCTTTGCAGGCGCCGCCGAGATATCGGACGATTTATGCCGCCGAGAGGGCGCGCTAAACGTGGAGAGCGGTTAGTGAGAAAAACGTTTTTTAGCCATAACTTTGCCAGTTTCTTGCGGAAAAAATTGATTTGCTGTAGAAACATTACCCTATACGGTAGAAATAAGTGTGAAACTTTTCGTGCCAAAATTCGGCAAAAAATCTCAAATTTTCGCCGACCTTCGATATAAAAATCTCGGTTGTTTCTGCAAAGCGCAATCTAGGATTCACGCATATACATTAGAAAAAATTATACAAAATTTGTGCCAAGTTTCTTAAAAAAATGTGTCACGATGACATCCGTCAAAAATGTGCAAGTGGTATAAAGAACTGCTGTATATGGCTAATGGTACTGCTTAGAGCATGCCAGAAAATTTCGGGTGTTGCAAAGGCTCTTCCCGCGGAAAAATCCAGAAATTCCAAAAAATCCGTCATCCAAATTGTGCATTGCAAAAGTTTTGAATTTAAATTTTTTTATGATTACTCCCGGGAATACTCCTAGCCATATACACCCTTTTTTTAAACCGCTGACACATTTTAAAGAGGTGTCATCGTGACACATTTTCTGGACACGCAAAGATTTTTTAGTCCCAAGCCATGGTCTCCACAGCTTTTCCCAATTACTCAAATTTACCGCAACTTACTCGACAGCGTCGTTATGCACTCCATAACGCCATTGCCCATGAACTGGCCAGCTTTATGCATTGGCGACCACAAGCTTTGCGAATAATTTTGCACTTGGTACATTCCACATGACGCCAGAGCCCACCAAATCGACCACGAGAGGACTGTGGGGTCTCTGAACGCCTCGAGCAACTCGCTGAGGACGTTTTTCGACATTTTTGGGACTGTTTTTTGAGCGCGTGTCTCATGAAATTCGGCGTCATGGGGCTGCACAGTGTCCGGCATTAGAGTGTTGTCGGGGGTTTTGTGGAATTGCAGGATCAAAGAGATGACAAAGGTCACTGAAACTGAGGCCAGTGTGATCTGAAAATAGTTTTTTTGCCTTCAGCATGCGATTTTTTTTTTGATATTTTTTGTCACATAGCCTCTGTACAACCTGTAATGACAAAAAATTTCAAAGGTCTGAAAAATCAAAATTTATAACAAAACCCTTCTATAACAAACAATTTTTCTTCCTTTTGAAATTCGTTGTACAGAGTTTTTTCCCCAAAACTTCGTATCTATATGTAATATTATTTTAAAATTTCAAATTCTACCTGATTCAGCAATAAATACGCCCCATTGTCGAAGGTGACAATGATTTGAGCCACTGCGTAGCCAAAGAATTTCCCCAACATGACTGCGCTTCGAATGTAAGCTGTCACTTTTTTGAAGTTTCTTTTGTCGACAACTGCGTACAAGTAAGAGTAGTATGCGATTTCGGCGGAGGTGGCCATACCTGAAAATAAATTTTTTTTACTAAAGAGTTGTGGAAATTTTCCCTGGCAATTACTTTTGCACTGTGCAATCCACCGGTTGCGACAAAAAAATCCCGGATTTTGCACTGTGCACAAAAGAATTCTCTCTTTTTTTGCACAGTGCAATCAACAAACAAAAATTGTCTTGCACAGTGCGGTCGTCGCGACAAAAGCTTTTGCGATTTCGCACAGTGCAAAGTGTTTTGGGTTTGCACAGTGCAGTCGTCGCAGCCCATTTTTGCCATTTTGCACAGTGCAGTAGTCGCGACAAACGTTTTTTGCGTTTGCACTGTGCAATTTTTTGGGCTTGCACAGTGCGAAACATATGGTAAACAGAATTCAATGTTCACACCAAAAAAAAACTTTTTGAATTTTATTGCACAGTGCGCAATGCGCATTCAAGATTATGTAAAAAAAAAATAGATTTTTCAAGAAAAAATTTTTTTTGCACTGTCCAAATTTCCTTAAAAAATCCGAACACTTCCTCATCGTATTTTACAAAAAAATAAGTTGCCTTTCCATCCCGTAAACTCACCAAAAGCAATCTGCATGATCTGCATTTGCCATACGGTCTTCCCGAACACCAACAATCCCCAGGTTAAAGTCAGCGATGCCGCTTCCAGAACAACCACTGGCTTGTATTTTAGGAGGTCGGTAATGAAAAATACCGGTATCTAAAATCATTTTCATTCATTTCAGAGCCTAATTTTAGCGTTATTACCAGGAAAACCAAGTAAGAATACGTCCAGAACGGATAAATTTCGCCATAGAGCTCTTGAACTGAGAAATTTTTGGTGGGGCCTTCCAAAAACGGGGTCAGGAATGGAGTGGAGGGTCGGAACTCCTTCAGAATCCCGTACAGGACCACCAGGACCACGGTGAATGTCCTCGCGTCTCGCATTCGACCTAAAATACGATGATTTTTGAGATTTTTTAACAAAATTTTGAAAAAAAATAAAAAAAATTTTGGGAAAAATAAAAAAATGAGACAAAATACGAACCAATCTGTTTTCTACTCTCCACAAATGTGTTATAGGATACCATGGAGATTTAGAGATCCAAATATTTATATAGTTTTAGAGTTTTTGATAAAAAATTTTTGGATTTTCCTCCAAAAATCCCGAGATTTGAACTAAAAACAAGATCCAAATGAATGAGAAATCGCAAAAATATTTGTCAAAATGAAGTAAACACTAGAAAAAATTTGCCCTTTCCAAATCTGTCTAGCGAATTTTCTAATCAGTCAGGGTTGATTGCCACTTCGTTTTTATGTACTATCGCAAAAATTTCAAAATTTGTGGGGGAGTTGAATAAAATGAAATGAAATTTTTAGCTTATTTTTGGGTAAAATACGAGAATTTTCGGAAAAAAATTAAATAACAAAGGAAGTCAGATTTTTTTCAAATTCTGCACATAGTCTATGTATAGTCCGCATATCAATTCCTGAAAATTTTAGCTCGCGCTTTGCAGGCGCAGCCGAGATAGGGAACGATCTTTGCCGCCGAGAGAGCACGCGAAAAGCGGAGAGACAAAAACACTTTTCGGCCGTATCTTTGCCAGTTTCGTATGGAAAAAATTTATTTTTTGTGGAAACATTATACTCTGCTGTAAAAATAGGCATAAAACTTTTTATACCAAAATTCGCAAAAAATGACAAAATTAAAAAAAATTTTAGTCTAAAAAATCTCCGTCTTTTTCTGCAAAGCGCTGGCTAGCAAACTCGCTTATACCTTAAAAAAATAATTCTAAATTTGTGCCAAGTTTCATCAAAATCTGGGTGTCGTATGGAGTACAGTTTTTTTCAAAATTTTTTAAATTTTCTATTTGCCAAAAACAGTCAAAAAAATAAATTAAATTCTTCATTAAAGATTGTTTTTAAAATACGCCAGTTTTTTTTGTGTCTTGAAAAATCGGAAATTATTGAGAACATAAAAGAAATCCCACAGAAAAAATTTCAAAAAAAGCAAAAAGCTTTTCATTTTTTAAAAATTTTTGTATAAATTTTTTGTTACTTTTCAATTTTTTCTGAGCCTAAAATTATTTTTAAGATACGCGCAACGTTATTATTATTTTCAAGAATCCTGAAAATCACCAAAAACACGAAAACATAGGTAAAAATTTTAAAGAAAACGAAAAACTTTATGTATCTCACCACTTTTCTCTCTCTTTTTTTGCTATTATGTTTCCAACTCAAAAAGTACTTGTAAAATACGAAAATTACTGGCTTTACCCGAAAATCCCCAAAAATATGCGGAAGACCAAAAAATCCCTCGAAAACATCGAAAAGGTCAGAAATTCCCGATCTCTGGCTACTTTTCCCCTCTTTTTTGCCATTTCCCCTCGTCTTTTTTGAGTATAAACTATAAACTACTCTTATTCCCTCCAAACACACTGTTATTTCCCAAATTTCGTAACAAAAAAAAATCAAAAAATCCCGAAATTTATAACAACTATAATCTCGGCACTCCTCCTAAAAACTAATTTTATTTATGATTTTGAATTTATTTTTGATCACGCTGATAATGCAACAGCGTTCTCTAAGCTGTTTATCTTGCTTTTATCAGTTTTTTCGTTGGGAAAAATCTCCGAAAATCGAAAAAAAACGATATTCTTCTTCTGGTATTTTGGTCTTTTTCTTGGCCAAAATTGTAGTGGGAGATGAGAAATTTACGTTTTATACTTTCTACAGTGATTAGTGGTGTTCAATCAAGACATTTCGAAGCTCTTTTCCCTACATGTTTCCAGTAATTCAATGTTGAATTTGAGTTTTCAGCCGCCGCAAAAGAAACCCCAATCAAACCATCAAAACCAAGTACAATACCATCCAAACCTCGTCTTCTTACAGGGGAAGTACTCCAAGTGCGACGCTCAGATTTTCTTTAAAATTTGCACACACGTCGGGTATGGACTAAATATCAATTCCTGAAAGTTGTGGCTCGCGCTTTGCGGGCGCCGCCGCGATATCGAACGATTGTTGCCGCCGAGAGAGCAGGCTAAACGTGGAGAGCGGTCAGAGAGAGAAACGCTTTTTGGCCGTAACTTTGGCAGTTTCGTGTGGAAAAATTTGATTTTTTGTAGAAACATTATCCTCTACGGTAGAAATAGGCATGAAACCTTTCGTGCCGCAATTCGGCAAAAAGCCCTAAATTTTGGCCGACTTTCGATCTAAAAATCTCGGTTGTTTACTAGTCCGTTCGTAAAGTCGCTGGAATGTTTTCGGCGACATGCACTCCGCGAAACCGAAAGTTCACTTTGCACTGTGCAATTTTTGGCTTTTTGCACAGTGCAATAGGCTTTTTCGAGCTGTCGCTCGCACCCTGAGTTTTCTTGCACAGTGCACGTCGCCGAAAACATTCCAGCGACTTTAAGAACGGACTAGTATGCAAAGCGCGAGCTAGGATTCCCGCATATATCGTAGAAAAAATTATTCTAAATTTGTGCCAAGTTTCATCAAAATCTGAGCGTCGCACTTGGAGTACTTCCCCTGTTAGAAGGTCTTACAGGCTCATATTTTGAAGAAACCTTTTCGAGGACATATTTAAGAATAGAAGCTCAAACATCTTCGTTTCATCAATTGGAAGTGTCTCTACGATCCGTCAGTTGGAGGTTCTATTGTTCATTCTTTATGACAACCACACAAAAAATTACCCTTTATTAATAAATTCCACTTCTAACTGGCAAACACAACCGAGATTTTTAGGTCGACCTGAAAAAATTTCACGCCTATTTCTATCGCAAAGGGCTATGCTTATACAAAACATAATCCGTTTTCATGCGAAACTGGCAAGGATATGGGCAAAAAGTGAGAGTGAGGAGGTCTCTGTGAGCGCTCTCCATGTTTCGCCTACTCTCTCGGCCGAAAAAAATCGTTCAATATCTGAGCAACGCCTGCAAAGCGCGAGCTAAAAATTACCTTGAAGCGAATTTCTTGGTACATGCTATAAAACAAAACGACTGTCACTTGCCCACATGTAATCACTGCAAAATCTCAATTGAATAACTCGGAGTGACCTGAGCGTTGATACCTTTGAATTGTTTCGGCTATCAAGCCAAAACCAATCAACTTCACCGTGAATGTTATCAAATAAATTGTAACCTCCCTATTCTTAAAAGCGTCTTCAAAGTACTCATCAGTCAATAGAATATCGATATTACATAAACATGTGGAATATACAATTATTGCATCCTTTGACTGTGCCCCTTTTCAATTCATTTTCAATACGAATTTGAATATCTCTATGCCTTCGAAAGTCAATTAACACTTTTCTCTGCCATAATCAACCACCTCATTTCCCTATGATGTCATTAAGCCAAGAGCAGAAATTATTCAAAATCACATTTTCTGCGCTGAAAATCAAAGCAAAATATTGCATAAGAGCAGAAAATCAAGAGAAAATCAAAATAAAATCGACAGAAAATATCTGGAGAGGGTTATAAAAGAGGGCATGGCTGGCAACATTGGATCGTTCAATGGATTTTACAACCTCACCAGGATTATATGGATAGTTTTACAGCTCCTCTTTTTATATAATGTACCAGTCGATAACGGTACTGGAACTTTTTATTAGAACTTTTTCATTTTTAGTCATCAAAAATTTTGAAGTTATTTTCATTGTCGTATTTTACCTTTTTTATCCGCGTAAACTTATTTAAAAAATCTTAAATATAAGTCTGAATTGAATTTTCTGACCTATCACTTTTCAGATACCCAACTAAATACTCCAAAATGTCCGGTGTCCCAAGCACATCCGCCATGTCCTCCGGCTACTCTTCCTACACCTCAAATGGAAGTTTTGGTTCGTTAATGGGCTTTGGAGCCCTCCTTCGCCAAGCCAAGCGAATTGAGAAGGCCCCATCTACCTCCAGCCATCACAAAAGGACCGAAAAAGAAGCCAAGAAGCCGCGCAAACACGATGAGGTCCGAAAGACCAAGTGTAATATGGAAAGAGATGATAAGAAGGAGAAGAAGCCACTGAAAAGGAAGATCTCTGAAGAGAAGACGACAAAGAAGAGGGCCAGAATGGATCTCGAAGAAGGAGAGATCATCAGCAGCGATGAGGAAGAGAAAGAAAACGAGAAGGATGAGAATGGAGCCATTAAGAAGATGGTCAGCTCGAATGGCCAAGTATATTTGGAAATAGAAATGCCAGAGAAGGTGAAGCTGGTCAACCCCGAAGATCCAGATGAGCAGCTGAAGAAGCTCAGAGCACTATATGGAGGGCAAAGATCGATCAAGAAATCAATCGCCCGTGAGTTCTTCAGGGTTGCGCCTTCCGGACCCCTTCTTCCAAAATAATATGTAAAGTAATATAATATTTGTTAATATTCCACTTGTTTTTGGTTGTAAAATGTTTTGAAATATTTAATAAATATTATTTAATAATTGCGAAGGTTTTTTTGTCTAATGAACCCCAATTTCCGACTAAATTTATATTATCCATGACACTAAAATCCAACCTCAAAATTGATAACCTAAACCAATTTAAAAAACTTGATTTTCTATTACAATATCTTCCTTAGGTCCCATTCTTTACATTCAATATCAAACCAACCCAAAAGTACAACTGAATTTTAATATACAGCCATTTCAATCTTCACCATGACAAAAGTATCGACTTTATTGCAAAATCTCAATTTTTCGACGATGTTATGTACAACATTTAAAAAAATTATTTTAAATAGCGAGATTACTCCATAATCTCTTAAACAGTTATAAAATTCACTACAAAATGGGACAAAATAAAGGAAAAATCATCAAAAAACAAGGATAATGTCAAAAAATTTTAATAAATTCAAAAAGAATTAAATTCTCATCAACTAAAAGCTAAAATCAACCGTTAAATATGTCCTAGAGATACATGGCATCAAAAGCAGAAAAAAATCTCTTGAATTTACAAAAAAATTCTTTTTTTTTTATATTCTACATGACAAAACAAATGCGATATATTTAGCTAAACATATGGTAAAATCACATCGGATGTGCAGATAAAATCAATAATATACATTCTAGCGACATACAAAACACATTCCAAATATTCTTCATTCATTGTTGGGTGCTTTTCCACTGTTTCAGGAGATTCTTTTTGGCCGGATTTTGCACGGTGCTGTTGGAAATGCTGGTTCTTTTGGTTCGGAGGCCTCGAATTGGATCCTGTTCAAAGGAATTATTGGATGGGCTTGGGGTCATCAGTTGTGGGGAGACTTCTGAAATGATTGTTTGAGATTAAAAAAAAAATTTTGAAAATTTTTTCGAAGTGAAATTTTTTTTTTGAAATTTCCAAAACTAGTATGTCTTAGTATCATTACATTCTAATCTTCTCAACAACCCCAAAAACATCACAAAAAACTCTCAAAATCAAATAAAAAACACATCAAAACCAAAAATTCCATCAAAAAATTCAATTATTCCCCAAAAAATCTCAATTTTTCCCATTCGATTTTTCAAAATTCCCCCCAAATCATTAGACTACAACACAATATATGCGATACTTCCAAAACTTCCCAGAAACCCCATAAAAATCCCCGTCAAATCACCAAATCCAAGTCTAATCTCATCAAAACCCCCTCCCCTTCAAAAGCCTCACTTTTCATCCAAAAAATCGCTTTGAAAAAACCCAAAACTTACTGCTAACCGCCAGTGGGGTCTTCGTGACCGGTTCTGCCTTCACACTCTTCAAATTCCCAGTCGGCAACGCTCCTTTTTTGACAACATCTTCCAGTTCCGGCATAACTTCACATAGGACCTGTCCCATGCTTTTCAAGTCCTGGATTCCAATCTGTTTGTCCTTGAATGGGCCCTGATCAAAGCCGCAATACGTGGACTCCATCGTATAGCATCTGTCGAGTCCGAATTGTCGCCAGAGGGCGATTCTGGCCGACGGTTCCTTCGCTTTTGATATCGAATATCGGCAATCTTTGAGGGAGAATCCGTCCGCATGCTTGTCCAATAATTCCGGGAGGGCTTGGAATTGATGCAAGGGCAGAGAACGGTCGGCCGCACGCCACGATTCTTCCGGATTATTGCCGTAACAAAAAACATTGGACTTTCGAGAGTGGCCATGCAAATCGACAAAGCAGAGGGGCGGCCTTTTGAGGACGTCAACCTGGAATTTCAAGGGTTATATGCGAGATCAGAAACCTCTCAATTTTTTCACATTCTGTCTAGACCACAAATCAACATCTCTCGGCTTTGCTTGAAACGGCAACCAAAAATTCTCAGCAACTGATCGAGAAAGATCAAAAATCCCGAATCTGACTGACACGTGAACAAAAAGTTTGATTTTTTGCCAATTTCCGGCCACAAATCTCAGTTGCTTCTTAAAACTGCAAGCTAAAAAATCTCGAAAATCCCAAACTAAAGTTGTTTCCAGGTTCATTAAAATCTGTCCGATATACTTCAAGCTCTTCCCTTTTCAAGTTTCGGTCCAAAAGTCACCTTCTACTAGTCCGTTCGCAAAGTCGGTGGAGTGACAGTGACTTCGGCGACATGCACTGTGCGAGAACAAAAAGTTCAAACTGCACAGTGCATGTCGCAGAAATCACTCCAGCGACTTGCAAACAGTCTAATAGAAGGCGACTTTTGGACCAAAACTTGAAAAGGAAACAGCTTGACGTAAAGCGGACATATTTTAATGAAACTGGAAACATCTTTATATTGGGATTTCCGAGATTTTATAGCTTGCAATTTTAAGCGGCCACCGATATTTATGGCCGGAAATTGGCAAAAAACCACACTTTTTGTTAACGTGTCATTCCGATTCGGGATTTTTGATCTTTTTAGACCAGTTGCTGAAAATTTTAGGTTGGCCTTTCAAGCAAAGCCGAGAGATATTGATTTGTGAAAGCAGAACGACACTGGCCTCATTATTTTCCCGACAGACTCATAATACACCCGAATCCCCTGAATTTTTTCAATTTCTCAGATTTCATCTCCTTTCAACTAAAAAAAAATCAAAAATCAAGTGATTTTTTCCCTTTCAAGCCTTCAAAAATCTCCCTCACCATATACTGAACCATTCCTTTCGCATGGTATATTGTGGGATGTCTTTTTTCACTCGGGTTATCCCAAACCCGGTTCAAATCGACCCCAGCCAACGAGCATCGATGAGAGCCGTTAATCACACCGTCCGGATTCAGCATTGGGACCAGCTTGAACACAAACTTTTCTCTCAATTCCTGGGCTTCCTTTGACAACAGCTTCTTCAAGATTCCATGCATCGTCCAGCTGGCGTTGGACTCGCCGGGATGGACCCTCGACGTGAACACCACCAACTTCCGTTGTTTTATGGCGTCGGCTTCGCCGGTGGCGGTGATTGTGACCAGCTGGACCGGGTTGCCGGCCAAGCTTTGGGTGAGGCGGTCGATTCTCGCGTATATTGCACTATGATTCATGTCCGATAAATGTCGCTCCAGGGTGGCTTGAAGATACGAATACGTGTAGGGAAAGTGGTAGGCGACGTAGCAGACGTCGGCAGCGTGTCGGAAACGGATCGAGAAGCGGATGGAAAAGTAGCTTCTGCAAAAAAAAATTAAATTGAAAATCTCGTTTTTAGACATGCGAATATACCAAACCATTTTTTTATTATGGTCTTCCTCTCAGACACAACTAATTTTCGATTCGTACACATAAGGAACGTATTTTACCCAAAAAATCAATTATTGAAAAAATATTTGGGTCCCACCACGAAAACGTCCAAAAATAAAAAAAAACTCGCTCAACATTCATCGATGTTATTTTTCAACAGTATCGATAACCACATCCGTATTTTACCCTTCATTTTTTAATTAAAGTTATTTTTTCTTTTGGTCCCACCACGAAAACAATTCAAAAAAAAAAAAAAAAATCCCCGAAATAAATTTTTCCAGGCATAAAAATATTATAACTCACTGATCTCAGTGATAAAAAATCGTATTTTATCCCCAAAAAACTATACTCGTAAAAATTTTTTGGTCCCACCACGAAAACCTTCAAACTCCCAAAACCACTCCAAACCTTCAAAAATCAACTAACTTGTTCTCTTTATCCGTCGACTCCTTCATTTTCTTCCCGTCCGAGATCGTTCTTCTTCTTCCCGTGGGCTTTTCCGCGTCGCTTCCACTCGAACTTGACCCATTACTCGGTGGGACGTACAGATTACGGTAGTAACAGACCGCTTGGCCGCAGCGGACCCAACCAGGCCGGCCTTGTTGGGCTTCGGTGACCGAGAACATGACCGGTTGCATGCCTTTCGAGAACATAGAGGTGTTTTTCAGGCAGTTTATGACTTCGAAAGTGTATGGAACATTCGCTTGGTTGTTGGAGACCTAAAATAATGTCATATGATGTTGAAAAGAGAAAAAGCAGACAATTCAAACAATGAAAAAGACTTTTCCTATCCTTATTTTGCCTTTTCTTCATAAAAATCAATTTTTTAGTTTTTCAATTTTTCGTGGTGGGACCCAACCTTTCGCCAAAAAATCGCAAAAACGCTGCAACCACGGCTTATAAATACTAAACGCAGTCTGCAACGACTTTTAATTCAAAATTACACGTTGATTTTCAACTTGAATCAATTTTTTAAAATTTTCAGGATTTCGTGGTGGGACTCAAAACTTAAAAAACGTAACTAAATTATACACCCCAAAAACGGCTTCTCCTATTTCTAAATAACATATTTCATCGACTTACACTATAAAAACGTATATTAAAGGCTGCAAAGTTGGGTCCCACCACGAAAACCCTGAACTTCAGGAAACCCCTCCAAAAATGATCAAAAACAACCCTAACACCTCCAAAAAAATATGGAAAGGCGTGAACTCGCATTTTACCATCAAATTCCATCTTAAAAATCCAAAAAATCCCTTATCTTCACCTTCACCTACCTCAAAATAGAACCACTGATAATGAGATCTCAGCTCGTTGATATCCGGCGACAAAACCAACTCATAATGATTCTCCGCCACTTGGATTGCCTGCCGCAGATTGCCAGACTCGAAGCGACTTTCAAATTTCAAATGATTCGAGTTTGAATCCAGGTTTCCGACTCTCGAGAGATCATCGTTGGAAAGGGGCTTTTGGGAAGCCGGCTGGGTGTGCAATTCATCGAGATCAAAGACGACCCGTGGTTTGTTGGAGTCGGTGGCATGTTGACGGAGTTTGGAGAGCTTTTGGATCACCGTTTCTCTAAAAATTTAAATTTTCAAAAAATTATTAAAAATCCAAATTTGGGTCCTACCACGAAAACCGATAAAAATGAAAAATCAAAAATTGCTCAGAACCTATTTTCAGACATTTTCAAAGCCGGCAAGACCAAAATTTCAACCATTTTCAAAGATTTTAAATCAGTCCGGGTCCCACCGCGAAAACTTGAAAATTCTTAAAATGACTCAAAAAACAAGTAAACTTTCTTATCCAAATCACTATAAAAGAACTTTTTTGAAGCTCTATTGGTATAAACCAATAAAAAAAATTTTTCCGGGTCCCGCCACGAAAACCTGAAAATGCCTAAAATGATTCAAAACACGAAAAACCCGTCAATTTTCTCATCTAATTCACTAAACTACCACCTTTTTCATGCTTATGTTTTGATATACGCCAATTAAAAAAACTTTCCGGGTCCCGCCACGAAAACATTCGACCTCTCCGAAACCCTTCAAAAATTGCAAAAACTCCTCTCCAACCCACCTCATGCTATCCTGATTGACCAAGAGATCATTTCGATTCGTTTCAATGTCCGGATTCGCCAGCTCCGGATATGCAATTTTCACAAATGGTGCAACGGATTTTGTGTCGTTGGCATGGGAAGAAATGACTTCTTTGTAGTCCAACTTCTTGGTTTCCTCTTCATTCTCATTGGTCGTTGGGACCGGGCCTTCGTTTGTTCGTCTTAGTTTGGGGGAGGGGAAATCCGAGGAGCTGGCGCCTTGCTCCCATTCGCAGAAAAGTGGCGAGTAATTGGCCTGGAATCGGGTGGATAAGGTGATAAAATGTGAGATTTTGCAGGAATAAAGCGTTGAAATGAAAATTTTGCAAATAAAATTCGATTTTACGCACCTTCAGCGCCATTTAAGGATCAAAATCGAGCTTCTATTCCACCAAGTCTTACTGTAACAAGCCAAATTTCTATTTCTCAAAATTCTGCTTTTTCTTCCAAAAAAAATCTCAAAATCTCCTTTTTTCAATTAAAAAATCGGCTCAAAACACTTCCCAGAAAAAATCTAGGCCTTCAATCCAACGAATTCTTACTGTAACAAAAAAAAATTTTTCTAATTTTTCAAAAAAAAAATTTTTTAAATCCCAAATTCCCAAAATTTCTTTCAAAAAATCAACTCCAAAACCCCTCTCACCTTGAGTTCGCTGGCTTTCTGTCTACTGAACTTCGGCAGCTTCTGATTTTCGCCATCCATTGGGCCCGTTTTTTGGTTCGAATCTTCGTCATCCGACTGGAACGCGATCATTTCCTCGTCGCCGGTATTGTTCGCATTGTTCGGGAGTTTGGGTTCTTTCATAAAGTTGAGGAAGCTGTCCTCTTCTTCGTCGATGCCTTCGTCGTCGTCCGAGTCCATTCCATCCGCGCCCATTGAGTTCTCATTTTGGAAATCGGGGTTGTTCTTGGGGTCCAATGGGGGTTTAGAGGGGCTAAAAATGAAAATTTGGGGGCTGTAAAAAGATCGATATTGAAAATAAACTCATCAAAAGACTTAAAACACGATTTTTGAGTCACTGCGTCAGCCAGTAGTGGGGCCCGGTCTTACAAGGAAAGTACTTCTATGGGGTGTGGAATTACCGGTCGAGATATATATCAAAAAATTCGCAAAAATTTTCTGATTCAGAATATATATAAATTAGCTGCCTAATTTTGGTCTGATGACATGTTTTTGTCCTCAGAAGTTTTCTCGCGACACAATGCAAGTGTCTTTTTGACCGTGTTTTTACCAATAAAAAAATTTTGTTTTGTGCTAAAATAAATTTTGAGGCCTTGACAAGCCTTAAAATATCAAATTGGATCACAACTACACCTTAAAAGTAGTTCCAATGTAAAAAATGGGTTCTAGTGTGGCAAAAGGAATCGAACCCGTCCCCTTCGGATTCCCAATCTAGCGCTCTAACCACTCGGCCACACCGCTCTCTTCCGAGGGAAGAGACCGAGCTCGCTTTTGTTGCCGCAGATTTTTTCCTCGAGAAATACATTTATTGATAAAACTCGTTAATAGACCAAAATTAGGCAGCTAATTTTTATATATTCTGAATCAGAAAATTTTTGCGAATTTTTTGATATATATCTCGACCGGTAATTCCACACCCCATAGAAGTACTTTCCTTGTTAGGAAAAAATCGATTTTGAGATTTTTGGCTTAAAATAGTCGGTAGCACTTGTGGAAGAAAAGCTAAAAATATTTTTGTCCAATTATGCCCGGAAGGCATATTTTTTTACAAAATACGTTTTTATACTTCAAAGCCTCTGGAGGCCGACGTGATCCGGCCACAGAGATTAAACCTGGCATACAGGGGTTTTTGACACCCAGGAATCTGAAAATCGTAGCCTTTTTACTGTCAGATTACTGTAACATGGTCATACTGTAATCCGGTCGATAAAAATCGACCATAACTTCTTTAGATCAAAAATGCCACAGGATTTTATTGCAGATTCGGAATCAGCATAAAATTCTGCTTCGGATACATGTAAAATATGTTCAAAATTCCGTGGCCCAACCTCTATAGTATAGTGGTTGTGCGCCAGGATTATCAATCTGGCGACCCAGGTTCGATTCCCGGTGGCTGCGAATGGCAGAAAATGGACTATAAAAGGGCGGAAACTTGGAAAAAAGGGAAAATAAATTACAGAAAATTAATTTTATGCTACTTGGGACCAGTTTAAAAGTTTTTGCAAGAATTACGCATAAATTACGGTTTTTATGGAAAACGCTTCACAGCATTCGTAAGATCGCCTCAAATGGCAATTAAAGGCTTGTGGTGAATTCACATAACGCTTTCTATCCAATATTCAACATATCCGCCGAGGAATGTAAGACCAAACAAAATAAAGCGTTTATTTGGTTTTCAGGTGGAAGCACGCATGTTACAGTTCCGTAATTTAGCCTCTGTTCCTTACCAACCAAGTCTCCATGTAGATTTATCATTAGAGCGTCCACGCGCTCCGTTTTTTGTGGGATACGCAAGACGGCCTCAGTTTTGCAAGCTGTGTGATTCCGGTGCTGTTAGTGAATCCTATATGACTTTTTGTGAAGCTTATATGACTTTTTGGTCAAATATTGTTCCGTTCGATAAACTTCGGCCGCAGCTCGCCTTCTAAAAATCCCGAATTTGAAAGAAAACCCAGGCTATCCCAAAAATTTAATTAAATATGCAGAAATGGACTTATTTTGTAGTAGGAAGGCTAAGTAACCTTTTATGTAAATTTTAACCAGATTGCTCCATTTTCCGGCGAGCTATAAGGCGTTTTCCATAAAAACGGTAATTTATGCGGAATTCTTGCAAAAACATTTAAACTGGTCCTAAGTAGCATAAAATTAATTTTCTGTAATTTATTTTCCCTTTTTTCCAAGTTTCCGCCCTTTTATAGTCCATTTTCTGCCATTTGCAGCCACCGGGAATCGAACCTGGGTCGCCAGATTGATAATCCTGGCGCACAACCACTATACTATAGAGGTTGGGCCACGGAATTTTGAAATATTTTACATGTATCCGAAGCAGAATTTTATGCTGATTCCGAATCTGCAATAAAATCCTGTGGCATTTTTGATCTAAAGAAGTTATGGTCGATTTTTATCGACCGGATTACAGTATGACCATGTTACAGTAATCTGACGGTAAAAAGGCTACGATTTTCAGATTCCTGGGTGTCAAAAACCTCTGTATGCCAGGTTTGATTTCTGTGGCCGGATCACGTCGGCCTCCAGAGGCTTTGAAGTATAAAAACGTATTTTGTAAAAAAATATGCCTTCCGGGCATAATTGGGCAAAAATATTTTTAGCTTTTCTTCCACAAGTGCTACCGACTATTTTAAGCCAAAAATCTCAAAATCGATTTTTTCCTAAGACCACCGCTGGTGCCCTAACTCAAAAATCGTGTTTTAACCGACCCTAAATCATGGATTCATTATAAATTTTTTATCAAAAATAAAAATTTTTGGTCCCACAACGAAAACATGTTATCTCAAAAAATCATATTAAAAAAGTTTAAAAGTTGTTTGCAACTCTCAAATACACCTTATTACACATCTAATTGTAAGCAAAAATCAAAATTAACATAATCATTCAAATTTTCTGGTCCCGCCACGACAACCTGTAAATTCAGAAAAACTCACTGAAATTATAAAAAATACCTCTGGGATCCCCCCATCTGTCCTAACAATAGCAAATTCTCCATTAAAAAAACTCTAATACATCCAAAAATAAAATTTCTTGGTCCCACCACGAAAACCTGAAAGTCTCCAAATCCCCCTCAAATGGTCCAAAAATGCCTCTCAAACTCCAAATCAACCCAAAAAAACACCATTTCCCCTCCAAAAAATTTTACATTCAACTTTTCTTACGTATTTTTGTTCGGTTCGTTTGGGATGGGGAAGGTCAACGGAAAAGGCTTCGTGGTTGCTGGGAATGCAAGTTGGGGCAGGCAGCGGATGCAGAGAGCACACAGGGAGTCCTGGAGTTGTGTGCAGTTGGCCAAGAGATTCTTTTTATTCGCTAATTGGACTCGGTCGTTGCTGAGTTTCTGGATGCACTCTTCGCAGAGTTGAAGGACGTTCAGACGGCTCAACTCATCCTTTCCCTTCTCTGAAAATGATTTGCAATCAATTTTTACTTGATTTAAGATCCTCTGGATCTGGCTAAAACGTATTTTACAAACCAAAAAAACTCAAAAAACCAAAAAATCAAAGTCAAAAAATTGCACAGTGCAAAAACCAAAATTAAAAAAAATTCAAAAAATCTCAATTCCTCAAAACTCACTGGTCTTGGAGAGGTGTCGGATGACAGCGGTGGAAATCAGGGCTATTTCGGAGTGGACCGAGTCCACGAAACGGCGATTGAAATGGGTTTCGAAGATGTTTTTCACGACTTCAACGAGGCCTTGCTCGATCAAATGCAGCTTGTTCTTGCCTAAAATACGACTTGAATTACTGAAACAGCCAGCTCAAATTTAATTTCATGACATTCTACATCAAATTCACGGCTAATTTCAATTGAAAATTAACTTTTTTTTGTCAATTTCTTCATTCAACCGTCATTCTTTAAAAAATTAATCAAAAAATCTCGTTTTCTTCCATTTCAAAGATTATTTTTTCGTATTTTAAATTTTAAATCTGCTTTTCTACAGTCATGAACTTAATCTACCATTGATTTCATTTAAATTTTTACACTTTAAAGTCATCAAAACCCTAAAAATCTCTTTATTTTGTCATCAATTACAGTGTTACATCGTATTTTACCTAAAGGTCAATTTAGCCATTGCATCACATTTTTCCTTGCGCAAAAATTTAAAACAGCAATATCTCTGCCAAAAAATATCAATTTTCTGCATAAATTTGCGCAATTTCCGCTGCGCAAAGGTTAAAAAAATCAATATTTCTGTCAAAAAATGGGCGGAGAAAATCAAAAAGTGTAGCGCAGAGATAATGTAACAACCGGATATAAGCGAGAAAATCTATTCATTTGCATATCATTGCGTTTTCGGTATGGAGCTTTCGCCTAATCTTATATCATTGACTTTAACTAGCATCTTTTTTACGATATGGTAGCTAAATTTACACCCTTTCAGATCCCAAAACGGGATTGCTTATACGTTTTTGGACATTAAATATCCTTTTCATGACTTGTTAACCACCCTTAAGAAAATTTTATATGTGATATTACAGTAATCTAGGGTAGTTTAAAGCCGTAAATTAGGATAATTTCCCGCCGTTTTAGCGCTTCAGATTCTAAAATACGAATCAAATTTTATTCACCATCATTCTTTTTTCTATGTAAAATACCAAAAATGTTATCAACCCTGAACGTATTTTACCGAGAAATCATTTATTTTCCCATTTGCCTATTGCAATATCCGACTAACCCTCTAATTTTTCAGAATCTCCCAAACGCTCTCAAAAATGATTGGTCGTCAATCCTCCGTCTCCTATGTCAGCGCCAAGACCATCAACTTGGATTCTTTTCCCGATCTTCGAGCTCAATTGAAGGGAGAAAACAAGTCGAAGAAAGAGTTCATTCCCAGGAAGCCCTCCCATGCCATCAGCAAGCCCGTCAAGCCATCCTCCAGCTCTACACTCCTCAAGGAGCCCAAGAACACCTCCAAAAACGGTAATGAAGATAAGAAGTCGCTGAAGAGGAAGCTCACTGAAGACAAAGTGGCCAACAAGAAGATCAGAATGGAAATTGAAGATGGAGAGTTGATCAGCTCGGATGAGGAAGAGAAGGAGAACCTGCCGGCCGATCACCGTGGGCTGATCAAGAACATGCTGGGGACCAATGGGAAGACCTACTTGGAGATTCAACTGCCAGAGAAAGTCAAACTCGCCGATCCAGCCGACCCAGACGAGATGTGGAAGAAGATGCGAGCACTATATGGAGGCCAGCGCTCGATCAAGAAGTCCAAAGCCAGAGAATTTTTCAAAGTGTCACCCTCAGGACCTCTCCTCCGGAAAAGAAAATAATCTCTTGATATATAATATGTTTGTATTTAATTTACCCGTTGTGATATTAATATTTTTCTCTCTTCTCATTGTAAATACTTTTTGTAGATAAATAAACAAAATCACCTCAAAATTCAGCCTCTTTTATAGTAGTTTTAGAACAGAAATTAAACTTTTTATCGTACTGTGCAGTTCAAGGAGGGTCCACTGCACTGTGAATTCCTAATAAGGGTACTTCTGTCGCGCCTCACATAATGGCAGATCTGATCCAGCGGCAAAAGATATTTTGCATCCGGGAAGTCTCAAGAATGTAGCAAAATATATACTTATTTTTCAAACTAAAAATATGCCGTTTTAATGGGCCTTTTCTCTCACACTTCGTTCGATTTCAACCGATATAAAATGGGCGAACCGTCGAATATTTCGGGTTGCCATGGGGCGTGATTTTAAAATCCGAGTATTTTCACTTGGAAAGGGAGGCATTTTGCCACATTTTTGATATTTCACGGATTGAAAATGATACGTTTTTTGCCACTAGATCAGGTCTTATATCATTGACTTTAAGTAGCATCTTTTTTACGATATGGTAGCTAAATTTACACCCTTTCAGATCCCAAAACGGGATTCCTTATACGTTCTTGGACATTAAATACCCTTTTCATGACTTGTAAACCACCCATAAGAAAATTTTATACGTGATATTACAGTAATAGGGCACATTTTTGATACTTCCCGGATCGAAAATGTTACGTTTTTTGCCACTACATCAGGTCTCCTCAAAATAACATTCTTTCGGCTAGAAAATGCGGTATTTGACGGCAATTTCAAAGCTCACAAGATGCAATATGAAGCTCTTTAGACCAAGCATACCATAATACTCAAAATTTGTCGCCGCAAAGACTTCAACTATACCAAACATACCGACAAAAAAGAAAGAATCACGCATTTTTGCTCTAACTCAGTCACCATTTTACAAATTTAAACCCCGATTAATGAAAATAAGGTCTTTCTGAATAACCTCTAGAAGATTTTACTTTGTATTTTAAATTTGTTTTTCTACGGCTATGAACATAATACAACATCTTTTTCATTTAATTTTTACACCTTAAAGTAATCAGAAGCCTAAAATTCTACCTTTATCCCTATTTTGTCATCAAATTCAATGTTTGTCATAGTTCTCCTTACATTAATTGCTTCGTATTTTACCCCTTCAAAAGGTCAAATTAGCCATTGAATCAAAATTTTCGTTGCGCAAAGATTTAAAAAATCAATATTTCTGTCAAAAAAATCAATTTTCTGCATAAATTTGCGCAATTTCCGTTGTGCAAAGTTTTAAAAAATCAATATTTCTGTCAAAAAATGGGCGGAGAAAATCAAAAAGTGTAGCGCAGAGATAATGTAACAACCGGATATAAGCGAGAAAACCTATTCATTTGCATATCATTGCGTTTTCGATACGGTTTTGGAGTTTTCGCCTAATCCTTTTTACGATATGTTAGCTTCGTTTACGTGCTTTTAGATCCCAAAAACGGGATTACTTCTATCTTTTTGGATACTAAATTACGACATAATCTTTTTTTCGATTAATTAGCCCCTAAAATACGCTTTTTTATTATGAATTTCAAAAATATAACCTCTTCATTACTCTATGACCACCTTTCAGAAAAAATTTTATAATCGATATTACACTAACCTTGGTAAATTTTTCGCAGTTTTAGCCTTTAAAAAAGTTGCAAAACACGACGCATTTTTTAATCTGATTTTTTCATCTTTCGTTTTTCTCTTTAAAAAATACCATACTTCAATGGATGGCAACGTATTTTACCGAGAAACATGCTTTTTATCACTTATTTTCCCATTTGCCTACTACAATATACGACTAACCATCTAATCTTTCAGAATCTCCCAAACGCTCTCAAAAATGATTGGCCGTCAAAGCACTGTTTCTTATGTCAGTGCCAAGACCATCAACTTGGAGTCTTTTCCCAGTCTCCGAGCCCAACTAAAGGGAGAAAAGAAGTCCAAGATGGAATTCATTCCCAGGAAGCCCTCCCAGGCCATCAGCAAGCCCGTCAAGCCATCCTCCAGCTCTACACTCCTCAAGGAGCCCAAGAACACCTCCAAAACTGGCAATGAGGAGAAGAAATCGTTGAAGAGAAAGATGAGCGAAGACAAATTGGCCAAGAAGAAGATGAGAATGGAAATTGAAGAGGGAGAGTTGATCAGCTCTGATGAGGAAGATAAGGAAAACCTGCCTGCCGATCACCGTGGGCTGATCAAGAACATGTTGGGGACCAATGGAAAGACGTATCTGGAGATTCAACTGCCCGAAAAAGTCAAACTAGCCGATCCAGCCGACCCAAACGAGATGTGGAAGAAGATGCGAGCACTATATGGAGGCCAGCGTTCGATCAAGAAGTCCAAAGCCAGAGAATTTTTCAAGGTGTCACCCTCAGGACCTCTCCTCCGTAAACGAAAATAATCTCATCATAATATAATATGTTTGTATTATTCTACCCGTTGTGATATTAATATTTCTCTCTTTTCATTGTAAATACTTTTTGTAGATAAATAAACAAAATCACCTCAAAATTCAGCGTCCTTTTAATAGTTTTATAATAGAACAGAAAATTTAACTTTTTGTCTAAACTGTTGTTTGTCGCACTCTGCAGTTCAAGGATGGTCCACTGCACTGGCATTCCTAATAAGGATCTTTCTATCGCGCTTCGTCTCCAAAACGGCAACATTCGGAAAGCTCATCGAAAAAGCGCATTTTCGGTTAGAAACTGCGGTACGTTACTGCCGATCTGACGGCAATTTCAAACCTTACTAGACGCAATAAGAAGCCCTTTAGACCAACCATACCGTAACACTCAAAATTTGCAGCCAAAAATACTCCAACCACACCAAAAATACGCACAAAAAAGAAAGAATCACACATTTCCCTCTACCTCAATCTCCACTTTACTAATTTAACACCCGATTAACCAAAATAAGGCCTTTCTGAATAACATTCGGATAAACAGTAGCTGGCCGGGGAGTGGACACAAGTTTTTCTGTTGCTTGGAAACCAAAAAAATCTAAAGATTGGGTGGGAAAGTTCAACTTTCAGCGAAAGTAGGATTAAGCACCTGGGTGGTAAAGCCAGAGAATGATCTTGAATAATGGGGTTTTTGGAGGAATTTGAAGGGCCCAAAAAAGTCTAGAAAAAAGTTGAAAAATACCCAAAGACCAAATATCATCAGGTGTTGCATGCGTTTCGGCCATAACATTTTTTCGGCAGTACCAATCGTCAGGGGCGGTCTATCTTTCAGAGGTCCGAAAAACTTTTTTATAGAAGCATTTTACCGTATAAATGGCCGATTTGGCCTGTTTCATGATGACTATATATATTTTTCTGGTGACCTTTAGAAGTCCAAGTGGTAATTCTTGATCTGAGAAACTCATGTTTATTCGAAATTGGGGATGTGTGCTCTATCTGATCAAAAAATCAGTGCCTGAAAATTCTAGCTATCAATTTTCCAGACACATCCGAGATATTCAACGACCTTTGCACACAAAAAACTCTGCAAAATGAAGAGAGTTGATCAGAAAAAAACTGCTTTCAGGCCACGACCAAAACGGACCATAAACAATTTCTCTGACTAACTCTCTGCATTTTACAGAGTCTCTCGTCTTGCAATAACCGTTGAATATCTCGGTTGAGCCCGAAAATCATCAACTAAAATCTTCAGAGACTGATTTTTCGATCCGATAGGGCAAACATTCCCAATTTCGAATAAATCCAAGTTTGTTAGATCAAGAACTACCACTTTGACTTCTAGAGGTCATCAAAAGAAAACACTCCTCATGAAATAGGTCAAATCGACCATTCATACGGCATTCGATAAAAAACATTTTTCGGACCTCCAAATTAAATTCTTGCCATTAAAACGCCCAAAAATCACAATTTCACTGCCCAAAACCCTCCATAGAACCTCTCATAACCCTGTCAACCCGCAATAGCTTCCTCTCCAAACCTTACACGCAACCTCATCATCTACCGTAAAAAAATAAAAACGAAAATATACCTGAACGTCCCTCAAAAAGAACCCATATTGTGCACAAAATCCCCGGATTTCCCCGTTTTTTGATGCAATTTCTCCATGAAGGTCCAAAAATATCAAATTAGGAATATCCGGGGTATTCTTAAAGTTCACTTCCTTTTTCAGATTGAAATGGAAGAATAAGAATAAAGACACATATTTATATCAATTCACATCCAAAAAACGTCTATTTTCTAGCGCAACCCCAAAAATACATTTAAAAAATCCTTCCTATTCGACAAGTTCCCCAAAAAAGCCTCCATTTATCACTGTTACTACTCAAATTCCACAAAGTAACCAAAAAACTGATCCCAATTTGTCTAGTTCTATCCGTCCGTTCAAAGCAAGGGAACACAGGAAGCGTTGAAAAAAAAATTTCAAAAAAAAATGTCCACAAGAGGATGTGGTTTATTCGAGCGAGAGATTATTTATTCCAACTTGTTTGGAAATGGCATTTCTGCGCCTTGGAGCGTTGGAGATTTTGTGGAAACACTCTAGACGGATTTTGAAATCATTTTTGTGGCCACAGACTTGTACTTGAGCTTTGGAAAAAGTCACAAAATTTTCATAAAATTTTTTTTGGCAGTTTAAAAAATTTACAGAATATAAAAAATCTTCACTTAAAAACCCCTCCTAATTATTTCTCACTACAACAACTATATCACAGCGGAATTTCAGACCACTTTTAAAACAAACTTTATCCCAAAACCCCTTCAAAATCAGCAAAAATCCAAAAACTCACGATTTTTTGTGACATAAAACAAGATCTCCACCAATCTGGCCATTTTATCAGCCGCTGAGAAAGCATCCGGGTTGTGGGCTCTTGCCGATCCATTTATGGCTTCACTGGGTGGGTACTCGGGACCATCAGCAAACGACGACGACGCGCATTCAATTGCGTTGAAATTGACCAAAATATTTGTAAACCTCTGAGCGAACTGGCGATCCCGACCAAGTTGTTGGGCATTTCGGGCTGAAATACGGAAGATTAAATAATTTGATGCTTGCTAAAAAGATATTATAGCTCAAATCAAAAAATTTTTTACTTGATTTTTTGACCAAAACTCAGTTTTAAATTTGATTTTGGTATAGCAACATCTATATTTTTGTTCAATTTTTTAAATTGATCTTGATGCTAAAACAAAAAAAAATGTAATTTTTATTCGATTTCTGACCTAAAAATCACATTACAATCAGGCTATTATTCGCAAAAATCAGAGATTTCCCTGAACCATCTCAACAATATAAATTTACATTCTTCGACCATGCCCGTCTCGATACAATATTCGGGCGCCGAATTTTCGCTTATGGACCTAACCCGGAACCGGCTGGCGTCGTTTTCACAATGTATAATAGTCGTTTTCACCGTGAAATGAACAGCGAACGAGGGCTTCGTCATTGTCCGGGAAGTTTTGGACACCTCAAAAGCTCAAGGTTCGAATAGCGACGGGGACGGAATAGAAAAACTGGGAATAAAAAAACAGTTCAAGCTCACTTCGTTTTGCGGAAAATCAGGGTCGAATTACTGTTTGGAACAAACAGTTGGGACCACGAGGTTTATTCAGGAATCAGATTTTACGGTCGTCATGAGAAGCCAAAGTTTCTGAGAGCAACTGGGTAAAATCGATTTTCATCAGAAAGGCATCCAACAATTTTTATGGGGTTCCTCGAGCTTTGAACGAAAATCAAAGGGGTTCCCCAAAGCTCAAAAATATGTCACCATGACGAATTTGCCTTAACCCGTCATGATGACATATTTTTTGATGCCCCGTAGAAAGTTCAAGCCCACCCGTAACCCCCTATGTTGGGTATATTCACTTCAATCAACTGTTAGCGACATACAAGCTTCCCGAAGATCATTGAACACTTCCTCAATTGGCCTCTCAATTCTTTCTGCATAAAGCGTAGAGATCTTATTCAAAAGGTACTGCGGTATTGCATCTACGGTCAATTTATCAAAACTTCGCAAAGTTGGTGGCACTTTTAGCAACGGTGAGTCACAATCACTTGAATCAACATTCGACGAATAGTCAATTGAGTCCAATTTCTCCAAGGTACGTAGTGACAAAGGTTTCCTTGGTGGGGTATTTTCTTTCGAAGTGGATGGCATACTAAAAATCGGTTCATCGAAGCGCCGTTGTCGGCCCAGACACTTCATGTACAGGGATTGCCGACGAGCCATGGTTAAACTGTACAAACAGCTGTCCTTCACTTATGAGATCTTCCGGAAAATTGGGCCTTTCAAAGCGCACTCGGCGTAGTCCAAGCGTAGAAATATTTACAGCAAAAAATAGACAGGGTCGGCACTACCAGATGTGGGAGGCTCTCAACCTAAAAAAAACCATTTCTTGAATAGATGACAACTCAAAAACGATAAACAGAGGTTGATTGAGAGCTGAGTCAACTGCTGACATCATTGGTTCAGATCCAAAACAAAGGTCAAAAGAAACATTTTGGCACGTTTTTTCTAAACAACAAGGGCTAAACTGAAAAAATGAGGCAAATTTTAGCTATAATTTGACCACAAACTAGCCAAAGCGCCTTGCGGAGTTCAAGAAAGATAGAAAAGGGACAATGAACACCTCAAAAAGGTCAATCCTCCATGTGTTTTTGTTTACCACTTTCCAAGGCCAGCTTTTCCGCCGAAATGGAAGATTCATGATACGGAAAAACTAACAAAGGCCTGTATTTTATTCAAAAAAAAATATGGACCTCTCAAAATTTCCTCTAAACCCCTTCAAAGCTCTAAAATTATCCTCAAACCGTCACTCATTCCAAACGAACACCCATAACGCGCCTTGAGGCAGAAGAAACTGAATCACAAGGTCAGTGAAATATTATATCCGGCTCTAGACTTCCAAAACCACAAATCCTTTATCTCAACTGCGTTACTAAAACTTTATGGACTCTTTTTATGATAACTCAATCCAAAAAGACAAAATTTCATCTTTTTAAAAGTCCAAACGAGAGAACAAAAGGACCGAAAAATAGAGTCCTTGGAGATTGATTAGAGATTTCACCCAAGTCACATCTCTAGTGCCAAGTACGTTCGAATTCCTTTGGTTTCAAATCAGTTGCAGCCGATTAATTGGGTCGTTAGGGTGCACAATAAAAAAAAGCAAGAGTTATTTTCTGCTCGTTTAGAAGTGATAGGTGGTACAGAGAAGATCGTGGTGATGTCATTTGGATGACATTAGACATTTAGATGGAGAAAATCTATTTCTATCGTCTACGACCTGTTCCAATCGATAAAGTGATCAAAAAAGGTCGAATAGAGCCCGAATTTAGAAATAAAAAATCGAGCAGACAGAAAACGACTGTAGGTTTCGAATGGTCCTTCAAAATCATCACGCCCCTTTGCGATCCAAAAAAATTCAAAAAATTACATAGAAAGCATATCTCTCGTATCTCTCTCGAAACTGAACAATCGTTTTGTGTCTCTTCAATACCATTTGATACCAAATTTGGAAATATTGCGATATTTACCCCATCATTTTTCGATTCAAACCATTCAGCCTTACAACGAAAAGGTCCACAGAAGAAGTCTCATTAAGACCAAAAAAGTCATAAAATCCATTCTCCAGAATCTAAACTCCAAATTGCTTTCATCAATGCCTCAAATGATGCTATCACATTATAATATCTTCTCGGAATTTCAATCTGTTATACTCGTAGATCACTTGACCATATGAGATTTTCGTGCCTATCAATTTTTTACACGTTTCTATCTGGCTTTATTTATTTTTTCGGTCATTATTCCACATTCCCAGCGGCTGTTCTTTAGCCTTTTTATGCGGGATCGAAGGGACGGCTGTTCACGAAGAGAACGGACTGGCTGATTTCATTGGGATAAACAAAGGCCGAGAAGAAACTTGAAAAAATTTTGAAGGGTCGTCTCGGATAACCGTTCGTTGTGATAAATCAATTCAAATAAAAACAATCGTTATTGAGATGATAGACAGGAAGAGAGGAGGACAACTTGAGGTTACGTTGTGGATATGAGATCGTGCAAACAGAGTGCCGACAAAAATAAAAAAAACGCGTTCAAAGTCCGAAGAATCTTCTAAAAGTGTCCAAAAACCATATGACGTTTGTCACAACGACAATTAATTCCGATCAAAGAGCTAGAACAAAACAAATCCTAGACTGAACAACCTCCAAATCCCCCAAAAACCCCGTCCAATCGTCAAACGTGCACTAAAGTTCAAAGTTCTCACCTTGTTTGGTATCCTCGATCTTTGCATTCGAAATTATCAGCTCATAGCTGCTCCTCCGACTCCATTTCGCATTGCTAACTTTAGTCCGTACTACTCGTTTAACTCTCGAAGGTGTGTTGATTTCAATCTTCTTTGTTGTAATCTTATACGTCGGCCTTGGGGATTGGGAATCGTTGCTGTTCTTCGTGTCTAGAAGCACTTTCTTTACTTCTTTGGACTGCCCATTATTAACGCCTATTTTTGAACGTTGATCATCATCAACTACCGGCGTTATTGTAGTTTTCTTCACAATTTCCTTCGGCTTCTCCTCCATCTTTCTCTCCTGGAACTCCAAACAAAACCAATTGATACCATCAACAAATTTCGTGGCATCCCTTGCAAAAAAATTTCCGTTTCTGCTTTTCCCAGGAGAATCAAGTTTCTTCAATGTTTTTGACGCATTACTTTCCTCCTCTGTTCTCTTTATTTTCTCCAAAACTTCGCTGAATCCTCTTTTTCTTCTTGTGATGAACAAACTTTCATCAACTTTGCATTGAGGCCATTCCTTTGGAGGTGGCGGTTTGTCGACATGGAATCTCCTAGTTTCCCTCGTCAGACTTCTGGCCCGTCTGCTTCTCGGGCTGTTTTCGTCAAACACGCGGAGACTAACGCCATAAAACACTAATTTTTCGTTCGGATTATCAACATCTTGTGTCCTATCCGGTATTTGAGAAACTGCATTGTTTGATGAACTGTGATCCGAGCTTAGCGGCCTTGACCTTCTTGTCTGTCCAGTGCTCTCCACTGTCCCATTCCTTTTATTCTTCAGTGGTGGACATTCTCGAATGCTCCTGGGTAAAAGCTGATGACCAAAAACACTGGAAGGTCTTGTACCCTTTTGAACTACGGGCCTAAAATCATGGCTCCTTATAGCGGACTGAACCGGATTCTCTTCCAACGGCACTCCTTTCTGTTGAGTTTGGCCTGACTGTTTCTCCGCGAATTTTGATTTCCTGGTCTGTTTCTTATCCACAACGGAGACAGAATTCCTTATGGTACCATGAGATGCGATTGGAAATTTCTTCACATCTTGTAACGTCTCTTTCAACGGCTCTACCGCCTTCGAATTTCCCTTAGTAATACGATTCTTTCGATACAAATCCGCCTCCAAATTCCGTATTCTGCCTGGTCTAGGTGTACTACATCGTGTGTCCGATATCGTCTCATCGCGCAACGGCTCAATTGGCGGCTCTGCAGTGTCGTTGGTCACTTTATCGTTATGTTTCTTCCGATACAAGTCTGCTTCCAAATTTTGTATTCTCCCGGGTTTAGCTGGAGTTTTCGTCCGGATCTGGGCGGTATAATCACCACTGAACTTCCTGTTGACTTGTTTAGACGTCCCTCTACTCTCTGGAAGTTCGTTTGTGCTGTCCTGTAAATCTTTTGGATTTTTTCTTTTTTGAACACCATTGTTGGCCAATTTCTTTTCTTTTCGAGTGCATTCTTCGAGTTCGGCTGGCTTCATCTGTCCAATAACGCCATTTTGAATCGAATTTTCGACCTGCAATCGCGAAAATCAAGCCACAAAAAAATGTTTTTACTCGAAACAACTCTCGAATCTTAAATTTCTCACCTCCGCGTCGCCATTATTCGATACAACTCTTCCAAAATTCCCATTCTTCCTGTTGTAAATCCTCTGTTTCACCGTCATCTTGTTCAATATCAAAGTGAAGCAAATTCAATACCAGTTTAGCAACAATACACACAAAACAAAAATAATACAACAATCCGAACGCTTTCAGCGTTCTCCAAACATTTTCGATTTTTTGTTTTCTCTTGTAATTTCGCTGCAGGCCAAGTTTTAAGGTCGAGAAAACCTCTCGAACACTGCAAATTATCGTTTGTTTTTTTCTAGCTGATCCACTTCATACTGGCGTGTTAAACGTCATCTTGGACAAAATCTGTTTCTTCGGCGAGATTTTTGTAGTTTTTCGGGTCAAACATCGAACCATTTTAGAATTTCTTCATGGATAATATAAAAATCGATCAAAAATTTCGAAAACGGTCAAAAAATCCAACAAAATCGTCAAAAAATGCCGATAAATCACCACAAATGGTCAAAAAATCAAGTTTGCCCTCAGGCAAAATATTTAAAAAATCCCTCAAAATCCCCTCCAACCCAACTTACGTGATTTCATCGCTCTGCAGGTAAATCTGAGCAGTGCAATCGTGCAGAAAATCCGCTCAATCTCCAGGATTCTCGAGCACAAATCATTTAGGAGGCCACTCAGCCGAATCTTCAGCAAAAACTTCGTATCTTTCGCGCAGACCCTTACGGCGGTGGTGATCAACTGATCATTGGCGATGACCTTGAATGGGGTTGGCTCTGGGATATGGCAATTCGATTTGATGGAGCGGAAGAGATGCGAAGCCGCATCGAGCCGGACCATCTGGCGGAGACGGCGTTGGCGGACTAAAAATCAAATTTTTGAAATTTTCAAGGGGATTTTGGAGACTTACGTGGCTTCGATCCCACGGTAACATAACCTTCTAAGATTCGACAAAGGACCATGACGGTGAAGTCATCGGATGACAACTAAAAAAATATATTAATCATGAGATTTCCGGGTCAAAAATACAAAAATTTCATATCGAATATCTCCGATGTGAGTCAAAATCAAAACCTAAAATTTTCAGGGATTAAAATATAGCCAATACAGTATATCCATACCAAATTTGAAGACGAAAATCGAAAAAAAAATTTTTTTAATTTTTTCTAAAAATCCCAGAATTAAAAAAAATATAAAAATTAACAAACAAAACCCACCTCAATAGCCTTCAAAAGTTGCGAAACTTTGTCAGCCTTCTTTTCCTCCACCATTTCAAGCAGTTTTTTCGGAGTCGTCGAAGAAGTCGAGGGGATGTTCACCAAATTTTCCGTGAGCAATCCTCCCATATTCAGGCCCAAATTTGAGGTCATTGGGCTGGCGGGGGCGCTGAATGTCTCCGCGTAATATTGGGGCTCTTCCGTGGTTGATAGGCGTCGTTTTGGGGACGAGGGAACAGTCGGTTTCTTCGCTTTCTTGATGACTTTTGCTTTTGAGACTGGAGTTGGCGGTTGGAGGGTTCCAACCGAATTATGCCTGAGGCGACTGTCGGACTTGCATGGGATTTTCTTTTGGGTTTTGCGGGGCTTGGACTTGGGAGAGGACAGGAAACTGAAAAAAATATTGTTTTAGGTGATTTTGTTAGAATTTTTTTGTAAAATCCGTCATCATGACATATTTTACTGATTAAAACTATTTTAAAAGGATTCAAAAATAAAATCAAGAACATTCCTTGCATCAAAAAAAAAAATATTTTGCAAAAAAAATATTTCTAAAAAATCCGTCATCATGACAGAATTTTTCCAAAAAATTCAAAAACCACTTTTAGAATGGCCTCTACAAATTTCTACTCCCCATGCAACCTCACATTCCAACTTTCTCCGCCCATTTTAGCCAAGGTGACATTTTATACGCAAAACATCCAAAAATCGCAAAAACCCACTCAAAAGTCTGTTGATTTGTCATGGCATTCTTCGACAGCAATTGATCCAGCTCCTTGGCCAACGAGTTTTGTTCATCCGTCTGATTCAGACAAGCGTCGACCAAGATTTCGGTGAGCTGAGCAATTTGTTGAGATCTCATCTCGTTGGTTTGGAGGAAGGAAAACATCCTGGACAGGCAGCACCACGGGGGTTTTATTCGCTTTTGCGTGGCTTCGGGCACTTTGTAATCTGTGGTGGAATGCTGTGGGTGCAGGAATTGGGGGTTTGGCGGAGGTTTATCCCATTTTGACCTAAAAAATCGCAAAATTCTTCAAAATTCGAATAAAAAATCGGCCAGAAATATAAAACACAGGCTTTAAAATTCATAGCAATGAATATTCAGATATTTCATCGATGTTTTTGAACAATATTGCTCAAAATTTCACAACGATTATATTACACATGACAAAATTCGAACAAAAATTTCTTTGTAAGTGTTTATTCAAATCACCGTTTGAACTATCTAAAGCCATTTTTGAGCATTCAAAGAAAAGAAATGGGTTTTATTCGGGTTTCCCTGCCTAATTGACCATCATATTGTACTTGAGGGGGTCAGATCTCGCTGGGTCGTAGGCCGCCGGTCTGAAAAGCAAAAATTATGAACCACGTTTCAAAACACGCCAAATTACATCGAAAATCATTTCCGACTCTAGCCTAATGCACCGTGCAAAAGGCGTTTCAATAAAAAACAAAATTTCAAAAAGTCGACAAATGTTTTCATGGGCTGTAATTTTCTCCGAAATTGACGAAAAAGTGAGAGATCTTTGCTCGGAAATGCAGTCGGCCCCAACGTGGAGGGAAATTCGGTCAAGTTTATTACTATTTTCGGTTGCTATTGGCAACTTTTCGCTTCGAAATATGTAATTTTCCGGAAAAACAGCTATAAATGGGAAACATTGCGGGAAATGGCCAAAACCGACGCTTTCGGTTGGTCTTCCATCACTCTGTCTAGACACATTAGGTCTATTTCATCGTATTTTGTCTCTTACGTTAATGCAGTCGATCTCTTCAGGGCTCAACGGCCTTCTTCTCAGCCTCAAGGGCAACTCCAACTCGTCGATGATGATTCTACCCGTTGCGGAGCGAGCTTGAGGCTTTCTGTTGGGATCATATTTGGGGACCTGCGGCCGGGAGTTATGCAAAAAGTGGATCGAAGGGACTCGAGGGGCAGAAGAGAGCTGGAAAAACATGGATATTAATCATGAAGAACAGATGGTTTGAGTCATTTTTTTAAATGAAAAGACGTTTTTTTGGATTGAAAATTAAAGAATATAACATTAACTTTCTTTTAAATACCACACTTGGTTCATTTATACCAAAAAAAATTATTTTTGAGAATTATGTTCAGCAAGATGCCTAAAATAAGGTAGAAGACGAAATAAAATGTGATCCTGATTTATTAAGAACCTAGAATCTAGCTTTCTAATAATCCCTATAAGCTGGTCCATCATTTACATAGTCTCTCCGACAACAAAATTGTCTCATAACACGAAAATTCCCATAAAACTTCAATGCCAATACCAATAATCAAAAGAATTGGTTTTAGCTTTTCCAGACCTAAAAATGGAACAAAAATAAAAATCCTTACCTTAGCAATTGCTCCAAGGGCTTTAGAAGCATTCATACTTTCTTCTCGGACTTGAACTTCTTCGACTTTACTTGATTTTACCTCCACTGGTGGTGTTGCCGATTCTTCTTTTGAAAATAACCCCCGGAAATATGAAAGGAGCGAGAAGTGTCTTCTTGATGACTGAGACACCCTGCAAAACATGTGTGAAAATTAGAAACAGCAAAATAAAACGTGTCAGAAAATTAAATTTGCATAAATTCGACGAAAAGCGAAGATTTTCAAAATTTGCAAAAAAATTACAAAAAAAGCAAAAAATCAACAAAATACGGGATGAAACTGATGTATCAGCACAACGACAAAGTTAGTGCCGCGTTACAATACGATTTACGACAGAAATCAAAGTAAAAATGCCATTTTTCGCAGTTCAACATTAAAAGCTGGTAGGTAAAATAAAAATTCGAAATTCTCAGATAAAATCAGGCTTATATCAGTGCAAACTGAACGATACGACAGAAAGATACTCGAAAATTAATTTACACTTTAGTCCATACGAATTTCGAAGAGTGGTTTTGCATTCCAACGTGATCTTGACCCCGTTCTTTGAGCAGTTAGTGCCTAAGATAATATGGGTTAGATTCCACAGAATAGCAAAAGTCTTTGATTCCAATGGCTTTTATAAAACGCCAAATTATCGGAAAAATATTATTCATGATAGAAATCTGGGAAGTCCGCGATGCAAGCCATCAAAAAATTGGTTGTATTATTTTAGATGATCGGTATTTGTTATGGCGAAAATTTCAGTTCAAAAACAACTATAAAAACAAGTTATTTCTTGCTTTTTGATCAGAATAACTACCAATTCAATGCGATCTTTGACAAAAAGAAAAAATTTCTTTTTCTGTTGCAGAATGCCAAGAATTTTTGGAGTACCGTCACGAAAACATTTGCACTCAATATTATTCTTATTTTTTTGGAAATTCTCGCTCACAAATGTTGTAGTTTCACAACAAACCACTTTATCATGACGTAGACTTGATTACAAATTCCATTTTGATAAGAATCGTCTGATTTTGCGTGTCTTTTTTATTGCCTATATAATTTTATGGATAATATACGAATAGACCTTTCAGAGATGTCGAATCCTCGCGGAAAACCTCCGCCACAACGGAAATTGGGTAGTCCAACTACTGCGTTCGATGTTGTGTTTGGAGTTGCGGTTCAAATTGCCCGAAAGTTGTTGTTCATCTCGCCTGCCAAGAAGGCGATTTTCCATCTTGTTTTGATCGTCACACTGTCGATTTATTCAGTGTATTCTACTCTTCCTGAAGTTTACTTGGCACAAGTAAGTTTTTTTCAAATTTTTTGATTTGATATTTAGGCATTTTTGAAGCTTCTTTTTATATTATACATGGCCATGATTGATCAAAATTTTAAGCTTTTATTTTGAAGTCCAAAATAAGGTTTGTGCCATTTCAGAAGCATAATATCCTCAATTTGTACTTCACAAAAATTGGATGGTTCTGGACTCTCCTCGCCCTTGTCCCATTCGTCTCTTTGACCTCCTACATTCATCATAATTCAATTCGAACAACTTTGATCCATCTGACTCGGCTAGTGGTTGCAACTGGGTTTTGGTACTTGTGTACTGGAACGTAAGTCATTTTTTCGCTTATTTCAATTCAAAATTTAGTTTTCTGCACGTCGAAAAAGTGACTGGAAAATGCATGGGATTCCCGGAAGCTCTGAATCGACATGCCTGCTCGAAAGATGGTGGAAAGTGGGTTCCAGGATTTGATATCTCAGGACACGCTTTCATTTTGCTGTACAGCATCTTGTTGATGAGTGAGGAGGTAAGGTTTGCGAGTTTATGGAGGTCGGATATTATTTTAGGTAACTATTAGCTAAAAAATTTAATAGGTTGGAGGAGAAGTGTAATCAAGGTCCGAATTTTTTTCATAGTGCGTTGTAAGAATATCTTTGTTGATTTTCGAAAGTTTCGTGTTTCAATTTTTGGTAAGAGCTGAGATATAGCGATATTGTAGTAGGTTAGAGAGCAAGGAAAATATTATAGAAATTACGCTAACCTGAGGGAATTATTGGTCGGGATAGGTCTCAAAGGTCTCGTTTTTAAGTCTTGTCCAAAAAATTTTCATTTTCCTACGGAAATTTCGTCAAAAACGAGATTTTTTGTATTTCAAGGTCCAATTTTCCGAAAAAGTTTGAAAAATGGCAAATATTCTTTTTGTAAAGCTTTTTGAAGGCTGTCAATAGTTTCTATTTGAAGATTAATCAATATTTTCTTATTTTTAGGCCATTTCCTTCCGTCATTGGCCCACCACCCCACTCCATAATCACATCTCCCATGACTATCATCGGAACCAAACCAAGACCGTCCAATGGCTCTTTATTGCCATTTTTGTCCTCCATATTATCTGGGATATCCAGTTGATCGTGACCTCGCTGTATTTCCACACAATGTCCCACAAAGTTATTGGAGCATTATTTGCGATTGGCGCATGGGTGGTAACATATCGGATATGGTATCCGAAAGCCATTATTTTGCCGTTACCCACAAGAAGGAAGGATTCGGTCGTCACGAATGTGAATATTACAAACAAAAAAGGACGTTAGAGCGATTTTTTGGAGGATTTGGATATTGTACTAGGTAACTGATAGTTTGAGGTGGAAATTTGAGATTTAAATGTTAGAAGAGGGGCTTAAATTAATCAGTGAAGAAGTTATGGGTATTTTATAGGCTTTGACAAAATATCGCAAGGTTTTAAGACCCTCTTCTGACATTAATTTATATTGTACTACACAAAATTTGGAAAATTTGATATTTGTAAGGTGAAAATGCTTATGACCCTTTGCTTTTTGCTTTATTAATCCTTTAATTGACTAATGCTTGCTTGTAACATTGCCTAACACTGTTTAGAACACCTTAGATTTATCAAATTACCCGTTTTGTCAAGTGTAATATCAAATATTCCACCTCAAATTTTTCGAAGCTGTATACAATATTTGTATGTTTGATAGTACAATTAATCGATTTTACGCATTCACGGTCTATGTTACTACTTTTAAATTGCGATCTTGCTCAATTTTGCCTCTTTTGTATTACTTTAGGCCTTTTTTGATGTAAGGATTAAGAATTTTTGTAGTTTTTACTAATTTTTTGGTATTTGAAATACATCCTCATGAGTTTAAAGGGAATTACGATCTTTTCGGGTAATAAATTTTGAATTTGAAAATGAAATTTGATCAAGTTTGAGGTAAAATTTACTCTTTTTTTCGTTAATAAAAAATTCGAAAGTGATAAATAATGCGAAATGATGAGTCTGCCCATTCCGAACGCCCCAAAAACTGCCTGAGGCGCCCACGACGCTGAAGCGATTAGGGCGCGCGTTCGGGATAACAGCCATATTGATTGGATTTCAATTGAGTAACCCGAGGCGAGTGATTACTTTTTTAGTGCCTTTTTTCGTTGGGGAAGTAAGTTTACGAACGAGGATTTGAGGGATTTTTCGGGGTGTGTTGTTGTTATCCGCGACTTTTCTGGGCTTTTTGGACATTCCAGAGGGATAGAAATTTTTTTGGTCGATTATTTTTTTGGGTGGTCGAATTTTGAAAGACTCAAAATTTTGAGATTTTGACCATGCTTTTTAATATGACAAGCAAGATATTCGGCTCGAGCTTTGCAGAAAAAAACGAGATTTTTGGTTTGAAAGTTGGTAAAAAAAAAAAAAAAAAATTCTGAGTTTATGCATGAAAATTTTTAGTCGTGCTTTTTCTAGGAGAGTAACATGTTTTTTCAACAAAAAATCAAATTTTTTCCGCGCAAGATTGGCAGCAAGTACGGCCAAAACAAAATTTCTCTCTGGCAGTGCCACTGAAAAAAGCATCGTGCATTTCAACCCCTTTTCAAAACAATTTAGCTAATCTGTGATCTCTAGTTCATTTTTCATCCACCCATGGCATCTGCACTCAAGTTTCGGCGAGCTTTAAGCTTCATTCTAATTTATTTCTAATTCACTTGATCCTCCAAATCAGATGACTTGCTAATGGGAATTAACGGATTGTTACGTTCGGTTTCATTTTGTTTGCCGTTACGTGAAAACGAAAAAAACGAGGAGAGATAGATAGATAATTGAGTAATGGCGAAAGTTTCAGATTAACCTCATCGTTTCTTTTTGGAATAACGAAGATTTTGGAAGCTTGGGAAAGGCTCAGAACAACATGTTGATCAGACCTGTGATGTAAATAAATCGGGCCAAAATTGAGAGTCAAATTGCCAAGTATCAGTCTGTTGGGAAAATAATGAGCATTCTGTCGCGTATCGCCGAGAAAATGAGTTGTGTCGCGACAAAATCAAATTGCTTCTCACTTCAGCGAAGCGACATTATGCTCATTATTTTCCCAACAGACTGATACTTGGCAATTTGACTCTCAATTGTGGCCCGAGTTGACATCACAGGCCTGATCAACATGTTGTTTTGAGCCTTTCCCAAGCTTCTAAAATCTTCGTCATCTTCCAAAAAGAAACGATCCGGTTAATCTGAAACTTTCGCCATTACTCAATTATCTATCTGTCTCTCTTCAGTTTTTTTCGTTTTCACGCAACGGCGAAACGAAATGAAACCGAACGTAACAATCCGTTAATTCCCATTAGCAAGTCATCTGATTTGGAGGATCAAGTAAATTAGAAATAAATTAGAATGAAGCTTAAAACTCGCCGAAAATTGAGTGCAGATGCCATGGGTGGATGAAAAATGAAGTAGAGATCACCGATCGGGGCTGAGCGAAATTTTGAATTTTCATTTATAGTGAAGTCTCTGTAGAACGAATTGCAAACGACAAGAATTTTTTAAATGGGTCTCATCGTGACACATTTTCTGGACAAACGAAGATTTATAAGTCTCGAGCCATATATTTTTGCATATTATTTCGTAAACCTACAATAAAAACCCCTATTTGATCCCTAATTTCACCTTTTTGCCTTCTCAATCCCCCTGTTTTACAATCTTTTCCCATCAGTTCCAAGCAACTACTCCAAATCATATTGTCGTTTACGGATATCTGAGCAATATGAGCTTCCTTCGAGCAGTCATTTCGTATATAATATATTGTCTTGAGTCGATTAAGTTTTGAAGGGAAATCGCTCTACTGCGCGCTGGAAAAAGTGCAAGTTCGCAAGCTCAATGGGATCATTGCGCAATTACACGGATGTATCGCTAGGTAATTTTTTGCGGGCCTCCATGGATTGGCTGGGATTTTTGAAAATTGTGAAGGCTTAGAGGCTGAAAAAATTTTTTTGTGGTAAAACACGGACGATAAACAGGGTTGCAAAATATTGAAGAGAATTTTGCACACATGCCATACTAGTCCGTTGGCGAGGTCGTTGGATTGATTTTCGAGACATGCACTGTGCAGAAAAAGTCGGGTTGTAAGCCGAAAAAACCAATTTCACTGTGCGAAAAGCAAGGAGTTGCACAGTGCAAAGAAAACTTTTGTTTTTGCGATGTGCGGTTGCGCAAAAAAACTGTCGCACCGTGACAAGTAGAATACACTATGTACACCGAGCACGTGACAGTGCGAAATGAATTCTTTTGACATCGGTTCGCCGCCGAGAAAATTAATTGTGTCGCGACAAAATCAAATTGATTTTCACTTCTACTACGCAATTTTCCATGCGGCAAACTGATATAACCAACAATGGCGGAGGTCAATGTTAGGCCGCAATTAACCTCTGTATGACGAAACTCTTCTATAACGAATGAATTCTTCTGATCGCTTGCACTTTTTTACAGCGGGATTTTACACAGTAAAATCGTGTTTTTTTTTATTTTCCTCCCATTTGTTGATGTTTACATTCTTATCCGTAAAATTCCAAGTTGAAACAACCTATAATTAACTCAATGGACCCTCCCCTCCTTACCACACCCTCTAATCCACACGTTTTTTTTCTCGACTTTTACGGTTACGACACTCCCATTTACCCGAATTTGTCATTTCAAATTAAAAATTTAAAAAAAAAACTTTGTACTCGGCAGCAAATTCCACACGGGATTACGCGTGAGGATGAGTAAAAAGTAGCGGGGAAAAAACCAGTCCCCGCGGTCGCACTGACATTTCGCCCTTTTTCCTTATCATCTGCCGCATTTTCGAAGGGGCGCCGCAAATATCACGCAGTAAGGGCGTTCGAAACAGGAGGGTCTCGAATTTGAATCCTCACTCAAATTGAAGGCTGTGGGGGTGAAACCGTTTTTTAACACTGCTATTTTTTTGGGTATACCATGAAGTGTGTTGGAGTTTGCATCGTGCAGAAGAGCTGGCTGCGAGCGATATCCCAAAAAGCCATGTGCACAGTGCAAGGAAGTTTTGTTTCCTCGCTCTACAAAGCCCCGGCACGACGACTCGCAAGGCACTGAAAAGTTTCGTTATTGAATGTTCGTGTATACCGAGATTTTTTGGTCTAAATTGACTATTGATCACTCTGAAAGTGTTTGTTATCGACAGGTTTTCGTGTTTTCGTCCCCCGCCCCCGCCACCTTTATTTTATTATAACATGTTATTTCTTCGCTTCTATATAGACGATATATCGTGTTAGCCCCCTAAGTTTTTTGGTTCTGGTATTTTCTGTTTCTTTAATACAGCGACGAACCTGATCCAATGGCAAAAACGTATCATTTTGCACACAGGAAGTGTCAAGAAATGTTGCAAAATACCTCCCTCTCTGAGTGAAAAAATCCGATTTCAAAAACGCGCCCGCTCTTTTTGTGAGGGAGCCCTTCAAAACAAAATTTTTTCACTTGGAGAAGGAGGCATTTTGCTACATCTTTGATACTTCCCGGAGGCCGAATCGTACGTTTTTTGCCGCTGGATCAGGTCCGTCACTGTACAAAGTCGTATGATTTCTGCGATATGCACTGTGAGAAATCAAAGTTCACTTTGCACTGTGCAATTTCTGGCTATTTGCACCATGCAAATAACTTCTTTGGGCTGTCGCTCACACTTTTACATTTCACTATACTGCTCCACGAAATGATAGACGCACCCTGTTTTTAGCGATTATCTTCCTTGTACTAAATGATATCGAATAATGTTCAACAGATGAAATGTGGCAAATTAAACGAGAAATCATGTCCCATAGGATTTTGGAACAAAATTTTGCCTTGACTGAGATATGACATTTTTTAGACTTTTTTGGGGTCCACAAAATGATAGACGCAATTAAGTAATTTTTCGTTTATTTAAAAGAACTTTGAGTCAACCTGCTCTTATTGCACTTCCTCGTGTTCTCTGTAGTATTAGAAAGGTGATTACATTTATATCCGCCGTACTTCATCGACGCAATGGCCTTATGAGCCATTTCCGACCTTGTACATGAGGTAAACATTCATTTTGAAAAAAAAATTAGGTTGGGCTGTTTTCTTGGGCAAAAAACTAGCTAATACTGTTAGATTATACGTGTAAATCTCGCTAATGGGAAAAAACAGCTTGTTCAAAGATCTCGGGTATTTTCTTGGCTTATAATCTTCAGCAAGTAGCTACCGTAATACACTTAGACCCCCGAAATACCAAGACGAATGAACGGATTGGCAAAATTTGATTTGCGAATTCGAATTCAGCATGCCTGAAAACGTAATGCTGCACTCATCAGCCGTTAGAGAACAAATTGGGTCTGTAAACTCTTTCTAAAAAAAAGTTCACAAAAATAGGCATATTTTGGCCTATTTTTACACGTTTATATTTTAACTAATCATCTGCGGCACATAGTACATTTAAGCAAGCAATAAGTTGCTGTTATAGGTTTTTTAACATGCTGAGTTTGATTTTCTGAGCAAAAAGTTGCCATCGATGAAAATTTTCTGTACCCTTAAGGCCTTTGAAGGTTACTGTAGATGGTCTACGGTAATTTAATGGTCGATTAAACGACTTCAAACGGATCGGTATTGGTTTATTTTATATCTTATATTTGCTACAAGTAATCTAAAATGGTTTAAGATGGTTTTTTGGCGAAAGCAAAATCGTTAACCAAATTTTTTTTTCAAACGAATTTTTACCTCATGTACAAGGTCGGAAATGGCTCATAAGGCCATTGCGTCGATGAAGTACGGCGGATATAAATGTAATCACCTTTCTAATACTACAGAGAACACGAGGAAGTGCAATAAGAGCAGGTTGACTCAAAGTTCTTTTAAATAAACGAAAAATTACTTAATTGCGTCTATCATTTTGTGGACCCCAAAAAAGTCTAAAAAATGTCATATCTCAGTCAAGGCAAAATTTTGTTCCAAAATCCTATGGGACATGATTTCTCGTTTAATTTGCCACATTTCATCTGTTGAACATTATTCGATATCATTTAGTACAAGGAAGATAATCGCTAAAAACAGGGTGCGTCTATCATTTTGTGGAGCAGTATATGCTACGCCAAAAATCATTCTTGCGATTTTCCGGAGGAGCTACTACACATACTTACATACCATTTCGTTTCCAGGCCACATGGGTGAGCCGCGTCAAAAAGTCCGCCATTACAAAATGATACCATCTCATCCTTCAAATCTCATTCAACTCGTATTTTACACAACTTTAATCTTCCCTCTTCTCATTTCCACGATAACTGCCGACGTCTACAACGGCTACAACGCGGCGAACACGATCAGAAATCGGCAGGGGAATGAGAATTCCCCGATCATTTTGCCCAATTATTACCATTCTCCCAACGACAAGGAGAACAGAGCTCACGAGTTTTGGGCCGAAAACGAGCCCAAGCCACATTTTCACGGCGGACGACCTATTGATTACAAATTACATCAGCATTTTGGGCCAGAGGAGAGCGATTTCCCGGAGAATCATCAGTATATCACGGATCCGCCGGGCATTGGGCTGAATAAAAGTGAGTTATGCTTACAAGGGAAGTCCTCCAAGTGCGACGCTCAGATTTTCTTTAAATTTTGCACACACGTTGGGGATGAACTAAATATTATCAATTCCTCAAAGCTTTGGCTCGCGCTTTGCAACCGCCACCGAGATATTGAACGATACTTGCCGCCGAGAGAGCAGGCTAAACGCTGAGAGCGGTCAGAGAGAAAAATGCTTTTTGGCCATAACTTTGCTAGTTTCGTGCGGAAAAAATTGATTTTTTGTGGAAACATTACCCTTTACAGTCGAAATAAGCTATGCAAATTTTCGTGCCGAAATTCGAAAAAAAATCTTAAATTTTCGCCGACTTTTGATCTAAAAATCTCGGGGTTTTTTCTGCAAAGCGCGAGCTAGGATTCTCGCATATATCCTAGAAAAAATTATTCGAAATTTGTGCCAAGTTTCATCAAAATCTGAAAGTCGCCCTTGGGGTACTTCCCTTGCTAGATTTGGCCCGAATTTTGATCATCGGATGCCTAAAAATAAAAAAATAGTTTAGTGTTTTGTAAAATACGCTAAGCCCTCATATAGTGGCCTTATTATTTTCAGACCGTCTCCCATGCAAAACCCGCCAACTCCCATCCACTTATGACGAAATCACTCCTCTCGACGATGGAATTGAGCTTCGTCTTGGCAATCCCTACGATTGTCACAACCAAAATATGATCGAAGTAACTCCTTCGATCCAAAAAATCGAATACGACGACCATCGCCAAACTCTTCCCTATCCCACACCCGACGATTTGCCAAATTCGATCGAGGAGAAGAAGCCGAATCCGGAGTCGAATTGGCCGTTGGATACGAATTCGAACTACGACTACGATTCGAATAATTTGATGGCAAAACCAATCGATTGTTATGGAAATTCGTGCGACAATGTTACGCCAAAGCCCACTATTCAAGATGTGATCACGAGAAAGACGAAGATACCGTTGAGAATTCCGGCGTCCGGCGCGTTTATAACGCATCCCAGCACCTTGGAATTTATCCGCTCTCATACCACGGAAAGTCCGGAAAATTCCCCCTACGATCAGCCGAATTTACCCTCAGGGCATGGAGAATATGACGGGCCAAATGCCAAGGAAACCGGTAATTACGACGCGCCGAATCGGGCCAATTTGCCAGAAGTGGTGACAGCGCACCGTGCAGACCACAAATCTGGCTATAACCAAAACCCCTCAGGCTATGACGACAAAAGTGGCTATTCCCCCAACTCCTCGCATCATGCAGGTCCTCCAGGAGCTATTCCGCCGGAAGAGAACACTTCCGATTCATTGAATAATCGTGGCAGACTCCCCAGCACTGTGCGCCCGAAAATTATCCACCGCTACTACAATGACGGCTATACCACGCGCTCCGGTGGAAGTTATTACATGCCAGCCGCCTCAGCGGAGACTCCATTTACTGCTGCACAGGATTTATATACCAGCCCCGCCGCTACGCTGGATTACGGTAGCTTTGGGAGTACTGTAACTCCGGGCGCCGGATTCGGCGAGAACTCGCAAATTGCCTCGGAAATTCCGAACCGCAGCTACGACAGTAATGAAGAGACCATATTCGCATTCACCACAGAGCCTTATGTGGAGAAGAGTACAGGGCCGATCATTGAGAGTGGATACGAATTCCATGGCGCCGAACCAAGCAGCTACGATAAATACCCGAAGAAGGAGGTGACCGATGAGAGTTATCCCGGCGTTGGAACGCCCAAACCAACTCCACCGACCACTACGGAATCAAGACCGCCGTATGTGCCTCCGGTGACAGTTACACCAAGCTGTAAGTTCGAAAGATTTTTTTTTCATTATAATTTGGTTCGTTTTAAGAAGAAGCGTATTTTACAAACCTTTACTCCGATAGAATTTCCAAAATTAACCATAAAGAAATTCTCACAGCCTTAACTGTGAGTTTTGAAACTGTTAACAAGTGCAGTGATGAAGATGCTATATAAGCATACCAAAATAGCAAGGAAAGTACTCCACGTGCGACGCTCAGATTTTCATGAAACATGGCGCAGATTTAGAATAATTGTTTGTAAGACATATATAATAGAAGACTTTTAGCCACCGCTTTGCGGAAACGACCGAGATTCTTTTAGTTTTTGAAAATTTTGGCATAAAAAGTATTGTGGCTATATCTACACCGGGTGTACCGTAGAGATCAGTGTTTTGTTTTCCGCACGAAACTGCCGAAAGTATGGCCAAAAAGTGTTTTTTCTCTCTCACCGCTTTCCCCGTTTTGCATACTGCTCTCGGCCACAATGATCATCGGATGTCTATGCGAAATGCGAGTTGCGAGTAGGTTACAGCGCATGCATAGAGAACATCTGAGCGTGGCACTTAGGGTACCTTTCTTGTGTAAGCTCATGAGCAAAATGATCGAACGACGTACATCAGTCTGTCGGAAAAATAATGAACACCATGTGGCTGCGCCAATCGCGTTGCTGAAGTGAAAAGAAATTTGGTTTTGCCGCGACACAATTCATTTTCTCGACGGCGATACGATTTGCGATGCGACAGAGTGCTCACTATTTTCCCGACAGACTGGAACAATCTTCCCAGACACTTGCACACTCACCACTGCTTTTTTTCAGACAACCCCTACGACGGTAACTTCAACTACAAGCACAATGCTCACCCTCCAGGCCAAGAGCCTCCGTACGAGCAGCCCAAGCCGGTCACAGCCCGACCCCCTGTCTATCAGACCACCTATAACTACCGAACCACAACTCCGCACACACCATCGACGTCGGCTTACTCTTACACGACGCCAACATCGCCAACTACAACAACTGCGGATATTGATGGGAGATTTAAGACGGTGCTGCCGCAAAGAAACGCCTATCCACCGGGACAAGCGCCCACGTATGAGGAGAAGAATTCGCCAAAAGCCAGCGGCAGTTTTGGCGATGGTTATGGTAAGGGGTTTAAAACACGGTGCGGTCTATGTAGTTTTTACATATTAGCCCAAAAAAATGTGGATACGGATACGGACACAAAAAAGGTTCAAATTTTGAAGTTTCACAGCAAAAATGCCCTAAAAACACTCCAGCCAGGCAAAACAGGAAAACATATTGACAAGGTGTAGCAATCAAAAAAAGCAGTTTTCCGCAGTAATTTTGATTTTGAACCTTTTCCCACGTTGTCATCAACGCACTGTGCATTTTTCCGGTACTGGGACGATTGGCGAAACCAAAAAGTATTATTTTTCCTCGATGAAAGCGTCGAATTAGGATAATCGAGGGTGCTGATTTCGAAAATGGCATTCATTTTTCCTTTTGCGCACCTTGCAAACCTGGAAAATCCTAATATCGGCCTGTCGGGAAAATAATCGGCAATTTTTGTTGGGTAGCTGAAGTGAAAAGCGATTTGATTTTGCCGCAAAACAATTCATTTTCTCGGCGGCGATTCGATTTTCGGTGCGGCAGAGTCCTCATTATTTGTTACTAATACCTACAAACTTGTCTATTATAGTCATGTTTTGTTGTACGATAACCCAGAACTTCCACTGTAATATTACTATAATTTCAGACGTTGAAAATGCCTTCAAGCATCCCCATCCAACGCCTCCCCCAACTCCCCCGCGATACGTTCCCCCATCGACTACGGCCACACCATCTCCCTCAGCAGTCTATTCTGACGCTCCAACAACGGCAAAGACTTTAGAATACTCCTCGTCTTTCACTCATCCAACAATATCCAGCTACGAGAACTTCGATTCCAATGAAGCTCCCGAAACGATTTTGGCGCTCTCTCCCACCCCATTTAGTGTCATACCTACAACTACAACGCCAACGACTGATTACCGAGTGGTTACTGTTACTGCCAGAGCGATCGCCAGCTCAACAACTACCACTGAAACTTCCACAACGCCCAAGGAAGTTACAGTAAGCACAAAGCCGGATGTGGGCCTAAAATCCTTCGTCAAAACCGGTCACGCCGGAGGGCATAACTTCAGAATCGAGAAGATTGAGCCCCAGACCACAGTGACTCCAAAACCACCGCCAACTGTCTACTCCACTGTCGGAGTGACGCTGAAACCAAGGAATCTTGTGGATCATGACATTAATATCAAGGAGACAAAGGCCGGCGGGCATGTGCTGGCCAAGGAGTGTTGTGCCTGCTGTGCGGACGATCCACGACCAAAAGCGACAGCCGTACCGAGAAAGGATGACGTCGGGTATGCGGTAACACCAACGGTGGGACCGGCTCCGGGTAAGTTGAGAGTTTAAAGGATCTTTGAGCTTCTCTGTTGTGATCTTTGATCTGTTGCACATTCCAAAACCAATACAGCATTTTTCCAGGCATTTTTTAGTTGTTTTTGGGGAGATCAGTCAATAGGAGTTTACTAGTCGCGGAAAAAAGTCGTGGGATTTTTCTGCGACTCTGCACTGTGCATGAACCCGAAAAGTGCTTTTGCACTGTGCAATTTTCTTTATTTTGCCTTATTGTCGCGCGCGATTCCCGCGACAAATCAACTTTTCGGGGCGCGACGGAATTTGGGGGGCGCGAGAAAATCCCAGGACTTTTTTCCGCGACTAGTAATTTTAATTAAAAAGTGATAACTTTACTCTGAAGAATTACAAAACATGCAATAACTCTTACTTTTAATCCATCTAATCGACAGAAAAAAAGTCACGGATAGATCAGCCTTTCAATTTGGGCAAATCGGGTATTGGTCCAACTACACACTTTTTTTGAAATTTCAAATTCATTTTGACGCTTTACATTATGACACATCGTTATTTAAACGGTCCAGGGTTTCGGCAGAGAATTTTGCAATACTGGCTAAACATATTTTTGTGCCAATGCCCGATCTGCCTTACATCGAGGGTAGCGACGGACACTGGTGCACACAAAACCCGCTCAAATTTCTTAAATTCCCTTCCTTTCTTTACACCACAAATCACCTGTTTTTCTCACCACCGTTTGCTCCTCAAAACCTCAAATTTAAACCGACCCTCCAAAAAAAATTATAGCCAAGCCCACCAAGACATACCCTGACGGGCCAAAACCGACGGATCACAAAGATTTAGAGAAGTGCGAGTGTAGTTTTCCACCCTACGGATTTCCAGGTGCTTCTCCATGGTTTGCGCCGGGCGGTGGGCCCTTCCCTTGGGCCGGTGGAAGCCAGGGCTGTGGAGGGCCTTGTCAAGGAAATCCCAAGCCATGTTGCGGGCCTGAACCGCCAAAACCTTGCTGTCCAAGCGTCCCGAATTGTTGTCAGAGTAAGTGGAATACCTTCGGGTTATAATTGACTTCTTTATAAACGGGATTGTATTTAGACAAGTGTTAATTATTACACTTTTCAGCTCCATGTTGTCCCAAGATCAGCCTGCCGTGCTGCCCACAACAATCGTTGTGTTGTGATCAAGGCTATGGATGTGGGCAATGTCGAAGCCGAGCAGCGTTAAGAGTGCGAACGAAACGAACAGTAAGCTGGAAAATTTCCCAGTTTTTTTTAGAAAATCTCTATATGTAAGGAATCGTACGTAGCAAAAGCTATAGAGGAGTTTTGTTATATGGAGGTTTATTTCGGCCGAAAGCTAACATGTTGGACCCCTAAAATATTATATCGTGTTATTATATACAGTGACGGACCTGATCCAGTGGCAAAAAACGTACCAATTTGTATTTTGGAAGTATCAAAAAATGTAGCAAAATGCATCCCTCTCAATGTGAAAAAACATCCGCTTTGAAGGACGGGCCCTTCTTCTCTCAAAAAGGGCGGGCGGGCTTTTGAAATCGGAGTTTTTTCACTTGGAGATGGAGGTATTTTGCCACATTTTTTGATACTTCCTGGATGCAAAATGGCACTTTTTTGCCAATGGATCGTTTCCGCCACTGTATCTTGAACTTACAATTTTGTGTGAATCTATCTTTTTTCAGTTATGTTTGCCATGCAATGGCCGGAAGAAGCGGGATGTGTTCGACGAAATCATCCATTCAAGGCAAAAGCGGCTGGCTTGCCAATTCTGCTCCAGGAAGAAGCGGCAAACGGTATGATCACGCAAAACTACAGAGCTATGCAGAGGTTCTACTGTTTGAAAAAAAATTTATTATAAAGTGGTTCATTTCTGGGCATATACCATCGAATTTGCTCGGCTAAAAACGCAGCTTTTGGCCAATAAAAATTTATTATTATCGCATAGTTTTACTTTTTGTTTCAGTGCCAAACTTGCTCCCCATTCCAACAATCCATCTTCTCGCAGTTACGCTCCTCAATGGACACTTGTTCCCATTGTCCAACTTTGGCTCATCGGAAGAAACGAGAGGCCGAAATTAAGGAGTATTATGTAAGGAGGATTCTTGTAAAATACGAATTATATAGTTGATGTCTATTCATACATGATGATTTTTAGGAGTTGAAGAAAAATCAGTCAACAATAAACATGACTGACAGCCAGTCGAACGAAAGCCTTGAAAAAACAACGATAGCAAGGCGAAGTCGACAAGTCGTAAGTTTGCTTGGTTAGAAGGCTACATTAGTCCTCTATTTTTTTCTTTTTTTTTGTGTCGGGAAAATAATGAGCACCTGTCGTATTGAAAATCGCATCGCCGGCAAGAAAATGAATTGTGTCGCGGCAAAATCAAATTTCTTTTCACAGCAACGCCATCGTCGCAGCGAAATTGTGCTCACTACTTTCCCGACAAATTGATAAGCTTCAAAAGGAAAAAAATTACAGTGGCGGACCTGATCCATACGACGCTTACATGTTTACATTTCAGTGAGATATTGCACGATCTTTGCCGCTAAAAATTCGTGAAAAAGTGATACATTTTTGTCAACTTTCAACCAAAAATCTCTTTCTTTTGTGGAAGACCGGACCCACAGTGGGCCTTTTCCAGTGGCAAAAAACGTACCACTTTGCATCCGGGAAGTATCAAAAATGTGGCAAAATACCTCCCTCTCCAAGTGAAAAACTGTGGTTTCGAAAGCGCGCCCGCTCTTTTTGTGAGGGAAAGGCGCCCTTCAAAAAGGAGTTTTTATAACTGGTGGGGGAGGCATTTTGCCACATTTTTTGATACTTCCCGGATGCAAAATGGTACGTTTTTTGTCACTGGATCAGGTCCGACACTGTAGGACGTCAGAATTCATTACGGCCCTGAAAACTGGAAAAAATAAAAAGTTTTTAAACTTTTTTCTTGAGAAAATGGACCTCCACTACAGTACACCCAGATACAGTAGCTTTTTCGAAATTTTTCTTGTGAAATCGTAATACGGGTTCATAGGCAACTAATATTTGAAAGTTTGAACAAAATTGAACAAGTCTGAATTTAATGTCGCAGCTGTAGTTGAGCCTCGCTCGTTCCTTGGAAAAAACGTGTTTTAAAACTGTTATCTATTTTTTTAAAAGAGCTAAAGCCAAAGATCGACGTATTTTACCATATTCTACACCGTTTTACCCCAATTAACCACAATTTCAGCACGCCAACGACGAGCAATGCGACGCATCTTGTTGCGACTTCTCCAAATGTCAACGCAATTCGGGCGGCTTCAACTCGTTCCTTCGGAAAATGTAAATATACGGGTTTACAACTAAATTATTACTGCAAATCTGGCAAGCCTTTGTATTCCTCCCTTCATGACGGTTACCAACCACATTTCCTAAGTAAGCAGTAATGTTGTTTTTACAGCTCTGTAAAAACCTACATTACTCTTTTTCTTCGGTTGTAAATCTTTTGTTGCATGGTATTTATTGATTTCTAATAAAAATTGTAAATATTTTTTTCGAGATTTTTTTTTGACTTTCTGCACGGATTTCACAACGAAGGCGTTCTTTATATCCTGGTCTCTTCATCGTCGTCGATTGTAGAGAAAAAATAAAAAAAGGGAACGCTTCTACAATTCGGGAAGGCTACAATCTCATTCAAGATACGAAAGAGGTGTCCATTCAACGTTTTGATGACATTTGCTGAGTTGGAGCCTTACTTTAATCTCGTTTTTATGGCTGTACGGTAAAAATCTGAGCGCCACGAGCCTCAAAGGACCAAAGACTTTCTTCATCGTAGAGAATGACCGTTTTACAAAGGTTTAATTCGCTATAAAATCAACTCATATAAAAATGGTTTGTTATTGGCCGGCTTTGTGGGCCCGCTGCACACAAGTTTCAACTGTATTCCTGTTGTAAAAATTGCATTTTCAAAAAGGCCCCCTGACCTAGGACATCCCATGGCCGAAGAAGCCCCCAAAATGAAGGGGCCGCCAAAAACAAGGGCCCGTTTTTGAAAACAAACAAATTTTAATATAATATGAAGGTGACATGTTATGCGACCAAAAAATTAAAAAAATTGAAAACATAGGATACGTTAGAAATTTTTGAATAGTATAACATGTCGCACCCTTTTCTCTTTCATGCAAAAAAAATTTTCGTCGTATAAGGTGTCACACACTGTTTTTTTCAATGTTAAAAAGTTCTTTGATCGTATAAAATGTCACCCTTCTTCTTCGGGATTTTGAAAAAAGGGCTAACTGGCCAAATGCTTCGAGTGCGACCCTCAGATTTTATTTAAATTTTACACACACGTCGGCTGTAGGCTACATATCAGCTCTTCAAAGTGTTAGCTTGCGCTTTACAGGCCTCGCCAAGATATTCAAAAATCAGTAGCTCAGATCTTCTTTACCCCATAAATTGACATTTGTTGGAGACGCCCGGGTCGACATCTGAAAACCTCTTATCAGATGTCGACTTAAATCAAGGTGGCTTCTGGTAAGCACAGCACGCATAACTCTTAGAAAATTGGGACCTTAATTTTAGCCAAATTGCTCCAAAATTTCGCATTTGAGCATTTTTTTGCAAAATGAATCTCTCGATCAGTGCATCGGGAAAATAATGTGGATTGCTCGCAGAAAAATGCTCGTCGCAGCCGCGGCTAGCCGTCGCAAAGCGATGAGGGGCGATTAAAAAGCGCGAAGAATCCACATTATTTTCCCGACAGACTGATAACAACTCCGCCTTAATCAAGAAATGGCAAGCACTTTCTTTATTACCCATCTCATCACATATACCTTCATAACTTTAGCCTTATTGCTTTTCCATAGTATTACTTCTTTATTCCCTTTTGCTCTCGCCTTTTTCGTATATGCCGACATAGGCCCTCATATGGAAATGAAGCGTGAAATTGGGTTTGGCGCATCCTTTGGCCTCACCTGATGTTACCTGCTCTTCCGCTCCGGTGGGGCCGGAAAATAATCCAATTTGCGGCGGCTTTAATCAATATTAAACTACGGCCGGCCAGCTTCCCGGAACGTGGAAATGTGCAAACAGTTCCGCTCGATTTGCATGCAATGCCGGAGGAGATTCGTACATCCCGAAGTGTTCTATGGTATGCAGGTGATGTGGCGGTGATATAAGGTATTGCTGCTTAGTAGTGTTGACCGAAAAATTTGAGTTATGACGGGATTTTATATTATACATGAGGTCTGATGGGTCGAAAGCAAAGAATTGATGATTTTAAAGACCCTGTAATCGCTTTTGAATGTAAAATACGTCTGGCGGGTTCTGAATTTACTAAATGTTCTTGTAGAGTCCTCATTCAATTTTGTAGCAAAATTAGAGTTTTGGATCGTTTTTATATTGTACTAGAGGTAAAATAGAAAGTGTTTGGAACGGTCAAATTCAGCAAGTTCTCCAAACATCTTTACATTTCTTATCTTTTGCAGTCTTTCAAATTCTACTGGAAAAAATTTCTCGGCGATAATCAGTACTGTTTTTGATTTTTGGACCACTTTTTATGTTATACTTGATATCATATGGGGAAACTTGCGTATTAATTTTGTTTAATTAATGTTTACAAGAAATCTTGGAGTAAAATACGACGCACGCAACAGCTCCTGCGTTTCTATTGTCCATTTTTAGTAAGGGGTTGAAACGGAATGCCAAAACTTCTGTGGGACCGGAACTACCGTAACCCTTCATTGAAATACTTTATAAAACTGCACCTACTGGATTTTAATCCTGCTCTGAGCTGTTTTTCAAGGCTATCAGAGCTTTTAAATTACAGTAATCAACTTTTGTTTTTTTAGGAGGGGGTTGAAACGAAATGCCAAGGCTTCTATAGGACCGAAACTACCGTAAGCCTTGTTTTTTAATGTCTTAGAAAATGTTTTAAAATGCCTAAAAATTGCATAGCATGAATTTTAAAGCCTCTCTGAGCTATTGCAGCTTGTAAAATTACAGTTGTCACTTTTTGAAACCTCACAAACTACCGTACCACCTTTCAAAAGGAATCGTAAAATCCTTTTATCGCAACCTCCTTTTTTAAATGTTCGCAATCAATTACCGCCAACGTCCATGTCGGCCATCAAACTTGTTCCGGGAATGGGCCGTCACCCGCAATTTGGGGCGGCGGACGCGCCAATTAGCGACGACAAGACGAGCGCAAAAAGCAAGGAAAAGGGGGATGGTGACGAAAAGATTAGGCAGAGGAGCGACAGTCTCGGAAAAATCGACGGCCTTGTTTGTTCGGGGAGAACGAGGAAACGGGGGGATACTGTAGGAGGAAGTGCAGGACTTGAAGATCTTTATTGGTAGGGCAAGACGAGATTCTAGAGATCACTCTGGATGCTCAGGGAAGGGCGCTCAGATTTTTTCTGAAATTACCAGTCTTTTGAGCCCATTTTTTATCATGAAATTTTTGTCAGCGTGTCGGAAAAATAATGTGGATTTGTCGCGCCTTGGAATCGTCGCTTTGCGACGGCTTGCCGCTGCTAGGGACTTGCCGCACGACTGCGATGAGGAAAGACGTCTTTCTGATACAAATCCACATTATTTTCCCGACAGACTGACCGAGGTTTTGGGGCTCAAAGGTTGTATTATACTCGATTTTCGAGTATAACAAAGGTTGTATTATACTCGATCATAGCTGAGATATCCATCAAACATATTGTATTTTTCTCTGACAATCTCTCCTCATCTTGCATATTCTCTATTCTTCAAAGATCGCTGAATATCTTCACTGCTCCTGCAAAATAATAGCTAAAATTTTCCTTGTCTAATAAAGCAAATTTTTCCAAATTCGAAACAAAAAGTCTATCAGTGTGTCGGGAAAATAATGTGTACAATATCGCTGCGTCAATCGTCTCGCTAAAGTAAAAGAAATCTGATTTTACCGCGACACATGTTCTCCACGACGATGCGATTTTCGATGCGACATGGCGCTCATTATTTTCCCGACAGAATGATACTTTTTTTATTCTTAATTATGTCATCTTTCCTCAGGCAATCTAAATATAATAATTTTATTCCTCATAAACTTCCCCAATCTCCAACTCACTCCATCAAATTCCACCGTACCTTGCCTTTCTGACTCTTCAAAAAAAATCGATCGAGTTTTTTATGGCCTTTGGAATTGGCCGCATAAAATATGACAAAAAAGTACCGCCAGCCCATTTTTTGCATATATATGATGTGATTATTTCGGTCTGCCTTTGCTCACAATTTTATTGTTCCTTCGGCTGATTGGCCAACTGATTTGGCCACAATTTTTTGTTGGTTTTTTATCGAAAATTGGTAAAATACGGCGTTGGATCCTTTGAATCCATGATGACAAAAAATTTTTGTTATATCCAGTCTTTGTTGTAGCTAAAATTACCGTAATTTCCCGCAACTGTCCCCTTGTTTGATTCGATTTTACTTCCCATTATACGCAAACATGGAATGTCAAGGTTGCCTAATAGCCGTGTTAACTCATAAACCGGCAATCTAAGTGCGCAAATCGCGTTAATCCCATGCGTAATTTGTTGGCTCAACACGAGAACGACCTCTTGTCCCGGGAGAGCGCCTAGATCGGATTAGGAGATAAGGAAGCGTGGCGAGCAAAACAATTGGCGGGTACTGTAGTTCTCTCTTGCCGATTTACAAGGAAAATCTCCCAAGTGCGACGCTGAGATCTTCAGTAAACACTTGGTCAAAATTTAGAATATGATTGCTAAATATGAGACAATTCTAGCTCGCGTTTTGCAGAGACAGCCGAGATTTTTCGATCAAAAGTCAGCGAAATTTAAGACTTTTTAGCGAATTTCGGCACGAAAATATTCATGCCTGTTTCTACCATTCAGGGTAATTTTTCCACAAAAAACCAATTTTTGCACGAAACTAGCAAAGTTATGGCCAAAAAAGTGTTTTTTCGGACCGCTCTTCGTGTTCAGCGCACCCTCGCAGTGGCAAATATCGTTCAATATCTTGGCGACGTTTGCAAAGCGCAAGCTAAAATTTTTACCAATTGATACGTCGTTCATGACCGACATGTGTACGAAATTTAAAGAAAATCTGAGCGTCGCACTTGGGGTACTTCCCTTGTTAACATTTTTTCGGCGTTTATAATACAAAGCTTTCTAGACGGGGATTAAGACTCGAAATTTTTGGATGTGTTGTATGCTGCTGAAACGAGAGGATTTTCGGACCAAAAATCTTCGTTGTTTCTACAAAGCGCAAGCTAAAATTCCTCCTTTCATATCTCTTATGAAAACTCGTATCTGCCTTTCCTTCCACTTCAGCATACAAAACCTCCAAAAGTTTCGA